TGGAGTAGATCATGTTAGGAAGAAATGAAAGCTTGTGGGAAGTCATGAGGCCAGGGTAGAAAGACAACAGAAAGGAGAATTAAATGGCGACGTGCTACTGAGCCCGTATGTTCGCCTAGGAACCCAAAGGACAAATAGTAAAAATAAAGGAAATGATCCTAAAACTTTATTTTTACAGAAAATCTATATATGAAATACTTCGATATCTCAATGGTTGTCACCCACCTACGAAATTCACTCTTGAGGAAGAACTTAACTGCATGTTTCACCTGCTAGATGTTATGCTGTAAAGCGAATTTCAGTCTAGTAATATCAAGTAGCCTACTTATTTCGTTGACACTTTTGAATATGAATAATAATGATAGTGAGATGTAAAATGTATGCTAGCAGGCTAATTTTGGTCAACTTGAATAGAATAATTAGCTTAGAACACGACATATAAACGAATAAAGAACAAAGTAAGTAGATAAACAAATGCTAAACGAATATGGTAAGTTGATATTGTTGCTTATGTTATCCTGTCGTTGAGTGGACTGAATTGATCGGTTTCTATTGGCATATGGACTGATGCATGAATGCCTTGATATTACTTGTGTTTACATCATATATTAATGATGGATAGTGACTAGCAGTGAAATCCAGAACACTGGTCTTGTCCAAACTGGACTTGTCAACTGGATATACCTGCATCCCAGTGAGCGATGTTGTTCCCACTAAATCAAAATTATACCCATCGTATAAGAAGTGGCTATCATGGCTAGGTGGTCTGGTGACTGAAATTCTGGCTTTTGGAGCTTATGAGAACAACATCTCTCACTGGAACGCATGTACTCCCAGCTGACAGGTCCCAAATAGATAGAAACGCGCATCCTGGATTCTTCTGCTATCCACTAAGCATTCCCTGACCAACGGAGAGACAAGGAAAATAATAAATTCTGGATACAAAGACTAGGATCATTAGCTCTAGTTCTCACAGCTTCAGTTATTTGTTGAAGACGACTTTGGATACCTTCGAAAAATTGTTTAGTATAAGGTAGATAGTAATGAAACCATTGTCCCGATCAACCAAGTGGCCTACATCAACCAGATGAGATGAAGTTAGAACTTCCTATAGATTTTGTCTATCTCATTCCCAACCATGAAAGTAGATGCTCAGCAACATGTCTATTAAGCTGTTTAATAGTCCCTTCTTTAAAGCTTTCTTTACAAGAGCAGCTAAACTTGTAAATACACTTAGAAATAGCAAAACTTCAAGAGGAACAATATTGTTCGCTTGTAGGTCATGATTAGCTTAGATGATAATTAATTCTTGCACTCTAAGCATCGAGGTTGGTTCACAAATGTTTCATAACTAGGCTGAGCGACTTCATCGGCATTTACTTTATAAAGAAGTAAATATATTTTTAAACCTACCAGTAGCAGAACTTTACTAGCCAGAATGCTTTCATTCGGGAACAACTTTTCTTCTGATATGAATGTTTACGAGAACATATCTCACCACCAAGTGTCTGATGTAAACCACTTATCTACTGTCCAATCGGATGAAAAATCGCTGGACGAAAAGCAGAAGAAGAGTAGTGTGATTAGTGATGTCCGATTAACGCTGGAGACTTCAAAAGTACGGTAGGTGGATCAACTCAGCAAATAAACTGGAAACAATCCCAGGAATAAAAACGATAAAGTGACTGATTGCCATTTTGACTATTTGGGTTAACCGTGGTTTGGCAGACTCATATTTGCACTGGGTGATGATTGATGGTGAAATGAAAATTTGGACCACGGTCGGATTTGAACCATCAACCATCGGGTTGGTCCGACTGCTGACCAGATTTTTATTTCACTTGGTAAAAAAGATAACCAATATGATGCTCTCCCCCCTTTAATTCAGTAAGATTTGAATGGGGCTGAGAAGTCCTTACTAAGCAACCAGTGTGAATACGATCAGGTGGTAATAACGCATAACAAATTCACATGGTAGTCCGGTAAAACCCTTAGTGATTGAAAATCAGGAGTCAAACCTTGTAGCTCAGTTGGTAGGAAATAGGGCCGAAAACCCTATGGTAGCTGGTTAGAATGTGGCTGCCCTCAATCACCACCCAGTATAAAGTAACTAATCAGTCACAAGTATGATGAAGAAAACCAAAGGAAGAAGAAAGAAAGAGGAACACTTCTGTGTGTGAAATAGTTGTTGATGAAGCTGTCTAGGCTGATGACAGTGTCTAAGACCAAGCTTTGAGGCTTGGCCAACAAACAGCTATCAACCTCATCCTAACTCATAAATCTTGTATTGTACCCTGATTAACTTGAAGTCTAATGATGTGTGATTGACAAAATGCTGGATGACTAATTTGTAATCACCAGATGGAACTTTTAAAAAGCATTTTCATTCAATATTTGAGAGGATTTCGGATAATTTCGTTTGTCAGCAGTTTTTATCCGCATAGTTTTAATGGAAACTTCTTTAGAAACGGGTTTTGCCATTTAAATATGGTTGTTATGAAGTACAGAACCCAGCAGAAAAGAAGTAACACTTCACAGTACTCCATTTTAACTAGTATCTAAAACATTTTCATGAGGTACTTGTTAATTTGAACAGACCAATAACAATAGTGGAAGCAGGAAGGTAAAAGGAGAGAAATAGTCATAGAGTAAAGGAGAATCATGCCGGCAAATTCAAGGGAGGCAGTGAAAGTTTCTCGAATAGCAACTCACATAGAGGGAATAGACATTTTGAGATTACATGAAGGAATAATGAAGAAATAAGCATCTAAGACTGATGATGTAACCAAACAACAATCAAAAAGGTTTGCCTAGGTAAACAGAGGTTGACTATAACTTCCTTCTGAACACAAATCAGGTTTGAGGAGTTTAATGGCTATAATTTCAGCGAAATTCGTTTGCCTACTATCTTGAAGGAATCATAGACATTTGCCTGATGTCTAGTGTCAGTCGAATGCTGATACATTGCAGTGTTTACTGTGTTACCCTCCCCCCTCAGTTGTAGGCTTTCTGAAGTGTCTTCTGTCCTTTGCATGTATATCTGCTTCGCTAGCTACACGTTAACTGATATAGACACTTAAAGATGTTGGTTTGACTGGCGTAAACAGCATACTGTTCGGTACATAGAAATTAATCTGACTACAGGAAATGTTCTAGTGAATGATGAGTCAAGTCGTCTGTTTATATTTCTGACAAAAATTGAGGTGAGAGAATACAGGCACTTTGCATTGATTGGTCACAGGTGTGTAACCAATTTCACTTTGTCTAGTCCTGAGTTCAGACTGAATCCTATCGATCATATTTGCAATGTGGCAACCAAGCCAGGAAGCTCAGCATCGTGGTGCATATTAGTAGATGTTAGTTGGTTGAAGGCAATCGGCAAGAAACCTGGACCTAGTTTTCGTGCTTTTTGGCACTCGTCAGCAAGGCGTATCTGCAACCTCTATGGAACTTATGTCCCACCTGAGATCCGAACCAGCGTCACCCAGCGTTGTAGTCAGCAACTTTACCTTTGAGCTAATCGGGCCGTAATTGACCTCCTATAGGACTGGCTTACATGTTTTGATTGGTCATGTTGTCCTGAGTGCAGACTGTACACTTCTTCGACTCCATGTCTTCTTCTGTCCCTGTCTGTTGATAAATGTTTGGTGATATCCATTGTCCCGTTAACATCTTTCAACTGTTCATAACTCTTCCTTCATTCTTTCACTGCAAAATATTATCGTAACCGTAAAATAGGGTATAACTTATCATCTATTATGACCAGTAGTATGACCCAGCAGCCCACAAGCGATACCAGCCTAACAGACTATTAACAATGTAAAATTAACGAACAAACTAATTCACTGTAACGCAAATCAGAACGCCTACGCTCAGTCGATACTGAAGATCAGATGGCCAGACAGAATTAACAACAAGGAAGTCTGACTGGAAACGAACCAACTAACAAATTATCGCTCAGCAAATATCCAGAAGAAAGTGGAGATGTACTGGATATACACTTAGAAGCCGTTTTGGGGAAGTCACGCTTTAGGATAGACCCTAGAGTAGAACGTGAATGGGAAACGACTGGTTGTACGTTGGACGGTGATATGGAGGAGATTGTGCAAGGAAGAAATGAAATAGGCAGTTGTGGAGCAAGAATGGAAAGACAACAGAGAGGAGAATGAAATGGCGACATGCTACTCAAGCGTTATATTCCACAAGGAACTCGAGGGGTAAACAATAATATTAATTCAAGTCCAAATCACTCGACTTCCTTTGGCAGATAGGCTCACATGCGTATTGCTCGATACTGCCACATATTCATCATGTTGTATTCATATCGGTGACCAGTATTAGAATTCAGGAAGCATGCTATTACTTTTTTGCCTGATATTTCTTTATTTCACTTCCAATAATGAAAATATAAACTTTGTTAAAAATGTATACCATTTTATGAGTTTGTTAAGTACATCCGTTAACCACTTACTCATCGAGCATTATGAATATCTTGAATAAAGTTATTTGTTCAAGAACAACCTATCTGACCATATAATTAATTATCTTTCTATATTTAGAAGTAGTATTCATCATGGACTGACATCAGTTAGGGAATCATTGAAAATCTAGGAGCACTGGATAGCTGTTTCGTCCTAGTATAGGACTCCTCAGCAGTATGCTAACTGAAGACCTTAGGTGACAGTCGCGCTATGTTGTGAATTGACAGAAGTTGGAAATTGTGAACTACTGAACTCCGACCTAGTGGCTGAATGGTTAACGCGTTCGCCGTGGAACCTGAGGATCGTGAGTTCGACCCCTTGCCGGGTCGTGGGTGCATACTGCTGAGCAGTCCCATACTAGGAAGAAACAGCTGTCCAGTGCTCCCACATTTCCAATGGTTCCCTAACTGATGTCAGTCCATGATGAATACTACTTGTAAATTAAAAATCCTCATTCATCTGAAAAATATCTTTCTATATGTTTCTTTCTATCTCTATTCAAATAAATTTTTTCTTTAGCTTAAAGTATACATAGACAATGATTTGGTATTTACACGTTTAATTCGTACAACTAATCAATACGTCTACATACTGCATACTCAAGTCCTTGTTTTAGGTGGACAATATAAACTTGGTGATGTTTTTCAATTGAATTCAATGAACAGTGAATCTGATAACAATTTTATTGGTTATATTTCAAAGGTAAGTTATATCTATATGCTGATATACAAATTCAACAGTTTTCTCATCATATTTCATCACATCTACTTAATGTCTCATATCATATGAGTGATGATCTATTGGGTTGTTGAATGACAATTGACATTCAAGATGTGAACTATTCGGTATGTGGTTGACAATCCTGGTCAGTAGCCACCTCTTTATTCTTTCCACATATGAATTAATAAATACAGTTGAAGTTAACAAACAATGAGACTTTGTCTAATTTATAATATGTATCTGAACATGTTGTTTGATACAATGAGGCATGTCTGTCAGTAGAATAGGTCCTGAAAACTTACTTCATATTTTGATTCTTGTCACAAAATCATCTCCCTTGAAGCTATATGTTTGATATGTAAAGAAGACAGTATAGTAGAGAGGAGCACTCACCTCACAACCGCATGAAGCAGTCAGTATTTAAATTTTAACCGCTTCTGTCCAACCAATTACATAAGAAGTGTAGTGATGACATTATACCAAAGGGAAGAGAGATTATATTCCCAGGAGGAAGTGCAACAAGTATTTCAACTATGTCTACACAATCATGGTTATCCGATGAAGTTTATACAGAAGTACTGCAAAAGGGAAGGAGAAGACAGTGGGATATAATGCCATCGCAAGAAACCAGTGTTTTTTTTACTTTGACTTTCAAGGTAGATGACGTTGTGACGGAGACATTAGGATTGAAATGTCGAAAAATCTACCCAACTGTGAGATTTGTCTCACTATGCCAAACATTATGTACAGTTACATACTCCAAATTATCAAAAATGTTCCAACTCATTTCGTTTGATACTTCTAATTCCCCGCTGATTTACAGGGTCGAAATGCTCATCCTGTGGAACCCACGACTCCCATTTCATCCTATCTGGAAACAGTTAGCTAGATATTACTGGCCTAGTGATTAACGTCTTGGAGTTTGAAGGGATGGGTACTGGGTTGGAGCCTCAGTGGGAACAACATCACTCCGCAATGGGGTATAACTACATGGGACAAAACGCGCAGCCTGGACTCCTCTGCTAGCCATAACCAAGTAAGGCATGGGTTACAGTAGCACTAAAAACGTTAAACCCACTTAAAAACAAGTTTTTTCCTGGGTCAAAAGATCCTATTTTCCCAATTACGTAGAATATTTTAGTTTACCATCCCCCTTGTAAGAGTTTTGAGGTCAAATATATAGGTCAAATTAAACAACCAGAGTCAATTAGGCTGTGTGAGCACAAACTTCTAGCTAAACTAAGATTAGTAAACCGTAGTAGGATGAAGCATTAGGCAAAGAGCTCGGTTACAGCGATGTATGCAATGAGACGCTACTACACAATCGATGAGATGATGTCTCGCCTGAGATTCAAACCGGCATCACCTGGTATTACAGACAGTGAGCTTGTCAGGTGACGATGGACTGATCACTAGAGAGTAGCCAATTTTATCCAGATCAAATTATATCAATGACTTTGAAATTGGACCCCAATAGCTCATTGGTAACATCATTGACTGCAGCCCTGGTTGGTGTGGTTTAGAACCTCAGGTGAGATAATCAGTTCCCTGGAGGTTGTAGATATGCCTTTCTGACAAGTGCCAACAAGCACAAAATCTAGGTAATACAGGATGTACTACCGATCGCTTTTAACTAAGTAACACTCATCAAATTGCACCACAATGGTTAGCTTCCTAGTTTCGTGGCGACAACGATCACTCTGTAATGATCAGTCAATGTAAAAAATTAAATTACAGAACTGATTTCCAGGATAGAAATTGCCAGAAAATATACAGTTTTAAAACAAATCAAAATCACGGAAATTGAATATTGAACAACTATTTTTTCGCAAGAAATGGCGTGGAATGAAGCTTCTGTACGCCTCAAACAAAATATTAAACCGCATCATCCCAGAGAGACTTAAGGATGCACTGGATTCAAAGCTACGACCGGAACAGGCTGACTGGATTCAGGAAGTAAAAATCATGTGCGGATCAAACTACAACGCTTCACATCATCATGGAATAGAGTATACAATGCCAGTCAACTCAATTCTACCTCAACTTCATCGACTTCGAAAACGCCTTCAACAGCGTCGACCGACAAGCAATTTGGCAACTGCTTCAACACTAGTGTTTTTGTGTCACAAACATTTATCATTCTCATTCAACAAACATATGAAAAGGCCACATGCCAAACAACCCACAATGGAAACCTACTCACTGACTCCTTCCAAGTGAAGTGAAGTGAAGACAGGAGTAAGACAAGGCTTCCGCCTTCTATCACCAATCATCTTCCTGATTGCGGTTGACTGGATCATGTAGCAAACAATGAGGAGCCAGAAGAGAGAGATTAGCTGGCTGGACAGGGGAAAAGAATCTAGAAGATTTGGATTTCGCCAACGATGACTTGTGTCTAATGTCACACAAAATCGAAGATCTACAGGCAAAGTTGACAGAAGATATGGAGTAGCGAAAACGGGGCTTCAAGTGAATATAGAGAAGATAGAGATGATGATGATACCCAAACAATGCCGCCACCACCACCACCATCAACAACAACAACAACAATCACCATCAACGGAAGAAACTTAAAGGGAGTAGCCTCCTTCACCTATCTGGATAGCACTGTTTCAACTACAGACGGCGCACAGACGAGGACGTCAAAGCCAGACAGGATAGGAAACACAGCAAGACAAGAGTTTATTAGCCTGAAACCAGTGTGCAGATCTGCTTCACTGCACTCAGCATAAAGCATGAGCAACATCCGGATTTTCAACACCAATCTAGTCAAGTCAGTGCTTCTGTGTGATGGTTGAGAGACTTGGCGTGTTACGAAAGGCATTTCCAACAAACTCCAGACATTCATCAACAACTGCCTACGTTCACTCAATACCGACACTGAAGATCAGATGAACAGAAAGAATAAGCAACAAGGAACTCACTGTGTCTGGCTGTCAACGAACCAACGAAGCAAGAACCTATCACTCAACAAATATGCACTGGAAGGAAGTGGAGATGGATTGAGGATACATCGAGAAGGCTGATTGGAAACGACAAGTTGGGCGTCCGAGGTTAGCGTGACATGGAGAAGATGGTGTGAGGAAGAAATGAGACAGTGCATTGGAGACGTGCTAGTGAATCACTATGTTCCACTAGAAACCTAAGGGATAAATACTAATAAATAATTTTTTTTTGTTTTGTTTTAATCTCATCAAATTATTTTCTTTGTAATATTTTTTTTTAGGCTATCTTTCAAGCAGATGCAATTGAAATGAATATATTACAGTTTACTTTATCTAGTCTACATGGTTTTCGAATTCAATCTATGCTGAATACATCAATTCCTTATGATAATCAATATAAAATGGTACCAATTAACTTTGTAGACATTTGTCATTACCTTGAAATTATAAATAAACCAATTGATAAAAATTTAATCAGTAACAAGTCAGATATAATTAATGAAAATAATTATATAACTTTAAAGCTTCCAGTGCCTACTATTGTTGATTTATTGTATACATCTACTGAATGTAATCATACTACTGATAAATATAATCATAATTCTATTATGGATAAATTAAGATGGATTCATTTAAAAATGGATTTTAGTCTTAAGAAAGTGGAACAATATCATCATGGATTAATTTTCTTGTTACGAGATGATACAGATAATAGAATGAAACATTTTTCATCAATTAATAATATACATAATAATAATAATAATAACAATAATAAGGAACAATTATCAATGGAGTATAATTATGAATATCCATATTTAGATGGAAATTTATTCATTGCTGGAGAATATCGTAATACTACACTATATATTATAATACAAAAGGATAAAGATATATGGTTTGAAGTACAATATTATAATTACAATTCAGTAAATTGGTTATATGATATTTATAACACTATAGAAATAAAATATACTTTAATTTGGTTATCTGATAAGGACAATAATAATAATAATAATAATAATAATCATATAAAAACAGTATGGCCATTAGTAAAATTATATAATTACAATATAAAAAAATGGATTACAATTGGTTGGAAAAATAAAACTTTAGATGTAATAAATTTTGAAGAAGAATTTCAATTATTACATAATTTTCAGATTTTAGATAATATTTATAAAATAATTTGGGAAAATACACTATGGTTTGGTCGAACATTATATTTAAATGGTATGAATTATACTCAGACTATTGAAAATGGACTATTTATTCCAAGTATTCATAATATAAATGGAATACATCAATATTTTCAAGGTAAAATTCTTAGGTAAGTTATTATCAATAACATTATTATTGTTATTTGTTCCTTAAGTTCCTAATGGAATATAGGGCTTCAGTAGCATGTTTACATTCCACTCTCTTCTCTCCAATCTTTCCAACCTGGCTTCACGACTGCCCACAAGCTTTCATTTTCTCCTCACATGATCTCCTCCATGTCACCCTCGCCTCGAACGCCCAACTCGTCGCTTCCCATCTGGATTCCACTCGAGTGCCTAACCTGGCCTGACGCGTGATGTCCCCAATCAGTCTTCTCAGTGTATGCCCAATACATCTCCACTTCCCTCTACATATTTGTTGGCCAATGTGTTCTTGGTTGGTTCTTTCCCATAATTCCTTGTTGCTGATTATTTCTGGCCATCTGATATTCAGTAACGAGGCAGCGTAGGTGGCAGTTGTTGATAAATATCTGTAGTTTGTTAAAAATGCTCATCTTGACGCGTCACCAAGACTCTCGACCACCACATTGAAGCACTGACTTAGTTGACTGATGTTGGTGTTGAAAATCTGGATGTTGTCCACACTTTGTGCTGAATGGAGTGCAGTAGATCTCCACACTGATTTCAGATTAATGAAAGCCTATCTCGCCTTTCCGATCCTGATTTTGACATCCTCGTCTGTGCGCTGCCTTTAGTTGAAACGATAATGCCTTGCCTAGACAACTTCCTTTAGATTTCCCTCGTTGATGGTGATTGGTGACTCTTGTTGTTAATGCTGTTAACGGTTGAGCGACTTCATCACCTCTGTCTCCTCTACATTCACTTGAAGTCCCGTTTTCGCTACTCCATATCTTCTGTCAACTTTGCCTGTAGATCTTCGAGTTTGTGAGACATTAGACACAAGTCATCGTTGGCGAAATCCAAATCATCTAGATTCTTTTCCCCCGTCCAGCTAGCTAATCCCCCTCTTCTCGCTCCTCACTATTTCCTGTATGATCCAGTTCACCACAATCAGGAAGATGATTGGTGATAGAAGGCGGCAGCTTTGTCTTACTCCTGTCTTCACTTCACTTCACTTGGAAGGAGTCAGTGAGTAGGTTTCCATTGTGGGTTGTTTGGCATGTGGCCTTTTCATATGTTTGTGGAATGAGAATGATGAGGGGTTTGTCATGTTCCGTAGTGTAGAAGGATTCACGTAAATACTCCTACGTCAACGCTGTTGAAGGCTTTTCGAAGTCGATGAAGTTGAGGTAGAGTTGAGTTGACTGCCATTCTATACTCTGTTCTACGATGATGCGTAGTGTTGCGATTTGATCCGCAGAAAATGAGTACTACGTGAATCCCCCTTGTTCCTGTCCTCAGTTTGAGTGGGCTATTAGTGGTACTTCTACCAGAGTTACACGTGACGATGGTGGTGTTGGCGTTGGTCGATTCAAGAGTATTTTGAACTGGTCAGCTCATCGTCTCCATTACTTCTCCTCTCCGCCAAATAAGTTTCATTCACTATCTTTCAGTGCTTACATCTGTGCTGTGTTGTTCTCTCCCCTCCCCTCCCCTCCCCTCCCCTCCCCTCCCCTCTCCGATACTGACCTGCTTATTTGATTCAATGTTGTCAGGCATCTGTCTCTCCTACCACCAGTCTGTTCTCCTTCACTTGCAAATGTGTCGTGGAAGTATCTGTTGTCTTTGCGCACACTCCTCTTCACTTCTTTGTCCAGTGTAGTGTTTTGTAGGTTGTATTCGATTCCTCTTCTCGTTGTTCATCCCCACACTGCACTGTACTGCACTGCACTTCACTTCACTTCACTGGTTCATCTTCTGTTTCACCACCACCATCACCATCTTCTTCTCCCTCCTCTATCAGCTTCCATGTATCCATCGACATCCACTCCTTGCCCTGTCCTGTCTCGCTTCTTCTTCTTCTTCCTCTCCCTTCCTAACACAGTTACACAGGTTGCCTTCCACGTCTCTTTCGAAGAGTTCCAGTGTTCTTCCATGCAGGTCTCCTCCAGCATCTTGCTCAATGTCACCCATTTTGTCCTGATGACTCACTGACGTGAAGATGTGCTTTGTAGTTGCGTCATTCAGTTCAGTTTCTGTTCTGGGTGTTCAACTTGATCTGTGGTCTATCACCGACTTCTGTGAAGGCATTCAACTTGATGTTGAGCGTAGATTGCTTGCACTAGATAATGAATGATGTGAACCTACATCTGCTCGCCTTCTTCATCTTGTGTGCAGTACGCTGCATCTCTACTTTCTTCATATTGAGATGATTTCGATCTGAGTTTCAGTATATCCTGGTGCCTGGTGAAATTAAATCCATGTCGCTCGCTTTGTGAATATCCTTGTGTTTTTGTAGACACTGCTTTCAATCACCAAGTCATTGAATACGCAGAAATCTGTAAACAGTTCTCCATTTTCATTCATCATTTCACTGAGCGGTTCTCGACCAATGATGATCCGTTCTCCTCCTGTGTTGTCTGCTCCAAGTTTGGCATTCATGTCACTCCACCCTTAGAAGGAATTTGATGTCACCAACTGGGGTATGGTCTTGTCCATTGTTGATTGCAGTTGTCTGTAGAATCCCTCGTTCTTCTCTTCATCTGCCTAATTATTTATAAGCCCATAGCGTAGCATTATGTGATTTTGACTTCCCTTCATTGCTTCCGAGTTGAGTCTTGTTGTCATGATCCTGATTCTGCAGGGGGAGATTGGTTTCCACTGCATGAGAGAGAGAGTGCCTTCGATGCTGTTGGTAGGGGGATACCGTGATAGCCACTCTAAAACTCAGTGTGCTCGTGGTTATTTTCTGGGTGACAGTGTCGAAGTAGATTATTGACTCTCCAGTTGACAGTTTGGAGAGTCCACTCCAACTCTCTCTGCAGATTCCTAGCGGATTCCTAGCCTTGCACTTCTATGCCACATCTTATCTCTTTAGCAATCTGTGCAGCCTTGTTAAATTCATGCATGGTTCGGACATGCCATGTCCCCATCCCTACTTTTGCCTTCATCGAGAGAGTAGAAGACCCATAGGCCAAATGGCATCCTGAGGACTTTAACCAACCACGGTCATTTCTCCGATTTCAGAGAGGCATAAGCATAATTTCATGTTTTATATTTTGTTTGTGCTTTGAAGTTTCTTTATCGACTGGATTGGTTTTTCGTGGTAGGATTACTTGTCTTATGCCCAGCCTTTCCTCTTTATCTGGGGTTAGGACTGGTTAATAACTAGTGAACTAGTTAATCGGGCGAGGTTGCTATAGGCAATGAACCACATGTATTTTTTGAGGGTTAATGATACTGCTATATAGCTGCTAACACTTAGACTGTTGGAGGGCTGTTCTAACCCACAACCCATTGGGGGAAAGTCGAATATCTAAGTCAGTGAGCCATAACTCCACACCGACAGAATTCGTTCAGCTGTTAAGATAAATAACTTACTTTTCTTTGCAGTATATCGGATTATCTTGTCAGTCGATTTCGCCCCATCAGTGATGTAAGCGACACTTCTGAGGCTTTTCTACGTATTTATTTGAGCAACTCCCAAATAACCTTGAACGCACCAATGCCGGCCCAGAAGAAAATTCTACTCGGTATTTGTTAGCTGCTACATGATTTTTGGTGTATTACAAACTTATTCGTAAATAGTTAGTGAGGTTTAAGAAGCTGAAATAAAGTTTTTGATTAGTTCTTAAGGTATACGGTCTTATACGCTGGTAGGAACTTATTATCGGTAATTTTAAAATATTTGGGAAACGTGAGGACAATAAAAACGCCTCACAATTAGTAGACAATGATTAAGTTCTCATAAACATCAAAATTTTGCATAGACTAAAATCAGTGTGATTCATTTTAGTTACACAAATCATCCCAAAACGGTTGCATACTTGCCTTCAACATGATTGGTCACTTCAAGGTCATCTCCAAGTTGCTCAGAGACAGGGAAAATTCTAAAGTTCCGCCATACTAGTAGACTTAAATCTAAACGAACAAACAAACGGTACACTTATTTAAAATTGAACATTGAACTTACTTCAAACTAAGTGTTGGACAAACTATCACTTGTAGCAAATAAATATTCACACAAAATTAATTTGACACAAGTATTAATCACTTGATGACAATTTTAGCCAACAATTAGGATGACATAGAACCTGCATATTCATCAATTACTAGAGAAATGCATTTTGACTAACATGATACTCTTGACTCATCAAAACTTTACTAGAAACATAAGAACTGATTCAGTTTATTTATTAATCAACTAATTATTGTGAAAAAGGATATCAATGAAGAAATGAACATATTGAAAATTGATTGATGCCTATAAATAGTTTTATTACAACAGGATAAATTTATTATTTGTTTGATTAATGCTTTGAAACAATTGAGTAGAATGATTTTGTTTTAATTAGTGAAGTAATTAACCTTGATCTTTTGTTGTAATGATACATTATTTACTACTACATTGGGGAAAAGGATTATGGGACAGGGTAATTGGAGTACACTAAGTGTACTTACCTAGAAATTACTCCTGTCAAACTATAATTCACCTAGTTCATTAATAAAGATTAGGTAAACTATGATAATTGGGATATTGAGCATACATTGATTAAACAAACCGATAAAACTCACACTTTTAAACGACTATAGAATGACATTTAACTGTTTAATGGTAATCTTGCATATTGTTTGAATGTTTATTGGTCATTGTCTCAGGTGAAAGTGTATGGTCTTACTGCTGACTGCGCAGAGTACTCGATCTTCAAGTTGAAACTTTGATGCACCTGCTTTAATCCTAGCAAACTTAGTTGCATCACAAAACTGGTGTACTTTATCGCCTAATCGGTAAACCTTTACTGGATTGAGTTAAGTTATTACATTATATCTTATTATCTTAGTCAATAATTATAATTAGGATGTATAAAGTAAGTGAAATTTTCGCTGGTTGATCACTGGTGGGCAACCACCTTCATGTTGTCTAGTCCTGTGTACTGATTGGATTCTGCCGATCATTTCTTAGTTTGGTCATCAAGTTAGGAGACCCACTATCGCCTTGTACTCAGAGAGGGGCAACTTGGACGGAGGCAATAAGAAGACAACCCTACTAGACCGAAAGTTTGTGCTTAACGGCACTCGTCAGCAGAGCGTATCTGAAAACTCGAAGGAGCAGATGTCCGGCCTGAGTGCTTCAGTCAGTGATGTTACCACTAAGCTATTAGGTTCACGACTGACATTTTGTAGGACTGGATTTGATACATTGGTTGATCACCTAAGATCAATCAACTTTATGTTGTCTAGCCCTGTTCTATTTGTCGATCAACAAGTCATTTCTCTTGCAACATTGTTAACCAGTATAAGAAGGATTGATATAATCCTGATGAAAATTCGTAACTTATGGGACCAGTTAAGTCACTTTTAAGGACAAATACTCACATGCAGCATGAGATGCTTATTAATATTGTTATTTGACTTTTGAGCACCTTGCGGAACATAGCGGTTTAGTAGCAAGTACCAATTTCACTCTCTTCTCTACAGCCTGTTCAACCTGGCTCCATCACTACCCATAGCCTTTCATTTCTACCTCACACTATCTCCTTTATGTCACCCTCCGACGCACAACTCGTCGTTTCCTATCTGACTTCCCCTCGACGGTCTGACTTAATCTGACGCGTGATGTCTCCAAACCGTCTTCTCAGTCTATACGCGATCCAATCCAATTAACCTCCACTTTCTTCTAAATATTTGTTGGGCGATAGCTTCTTGGTTGGTTCGTCGTCAGTAACAGTTTCCCCTTCTTATTCTCATTATTCTGGGCATCTGATATTCAGTACTGAGTTGGAGTGGGCGGTAGATGTTGATGACGTAGGTATGCATTTTGTTGGAAATGTTTTTTGTGACGCGTCGCCAAGTCTCTCAACTGTCATATAGAAACACTGACTTACGTGACTGACATCAGTGTTTAAAATCCGGGTGTTGCTCACGCCTTGTGCTGAGTGGAATGAGGTACAGTTTCACTAGAACTGCACACTGATTTCAAATTAATGCAGGAAGACCCGTATTGCTTTTTCGATCCTCGCTTTGAGATCCTCATCTGTGCCACCACCTGTAGTTGAAACGATGCAGCTTCGTCTGGGTACATGTAGGGGACTACTTCCTATAGGTTTCTCCCGTTGATGGTGATTGGTGATTGTTATTGTTGTTGTAGGTTGGGTATCTTCATCACCTCTGAATTCTTTACACTCACTTGAAGTTCCATTTTCGCTGCCCTGCCTCTTCTGCCAACTTGTTAGTTTTTGTCTGTAGATATTCGAGTTTATGCGACAAGACATTACACATAAATCATCATTGGAGAAATCCAAATGTTCCAGGGTCTTTTCATCGGTCCAGGCAGCGCATGCCCATCTTCTCACAGATCCTCACGTCTTGCTGCATGATCCAGTCCAGTACAGTTGACCACAATCAAAACGATCATCGGTGATAGCAGGCAGCCTTGTCTTACTCCTGTCTTCACTACCCTTCAAAAACGTCACTCAGCTTTCCATTATGAATGGCATGGCATGTAGCATAAAGCATAGCACACACGTGTTGAATGGGGTTGATAAATGTTTGTGGCACTAAAACCGTAGTGTTGAAGCAGCTGCCTATCAAATTACTTCTCGGTCGACGCTATGGAAAGCCTTTTCAAATTCGATGAAGTTGAGGTAGAGTTGAGTTGACTGTCATCCTATACTTTGTTTTATGATGATGCGTAGTGTTGCGATTTGATCCGCAGAAAATGAGTACTACGTGAATCCCCTTGTTCCTGTCCTCAGTTTGAGTAGGCTATTAGTGGTACTTCTACCAGAGTTACACGTGGCGATGGTGGTGTTGGCGTTGGTCGATTCAAGAGTATTTTGAACTGGTCAGCTCATCGTCTCCATTGCTTCTCCTCTCCGCCAAATAAGTTTCATTCACTATCTTTCAGTGCTTACATCTGTGCTGTGTTGTTCTCTCCCCTCCCCTCCCCTCCCCTCCCCTCCCCTCCCCTCTCCGATACTGACCTGCTTATTTGATTCAATGTTGTCAGGCATCTGTCTCTCCTACCACCAGTCTGTTCTCCTTCACTTGCAAATGTGTCGTGGAAGTATCTGTTGTCTTTGCGCACACTCCTCTTCACTTCTTTGTCCAGTGTAGTGTTTTGTAGGTTGTATTCGATTCCTCTTCTCGTTGTTCATCCCCACACTTCATCTTCTGTTTTACCATCACCATCACCATCTTCCTCTCCCTCCTCTATCAGCTTCCATGTACCCATTGACATCCATTCCTTTCCCTATCCTGTCCTATCCTGTCCTGTCTCGCTTCTTCTTCTTCTTCCTCTCCCTTCGTATCACAGTTACACAGGTTGCCTTCCACGTCTCTTTCGAAGAGTTCCAGTGTTCTTCCATGCAGGTCTCCTCCAGCATCTTGCTCAATGTCACCCATTTTGTCCTGATGACTCACTGACGTGAAGATGTGCTTTGTAGTTGCGTCATTCAGTTCAGTTTCTGTTCTGGGTGTTCGACTTGATCTGTGGTCTATCACCGACTTCTGTGAAGGCATTCAACTTGATGTTGAGCGTAGATTGCTTGCACTAGATAATGAATGATGTGAACCTACATCTGCTCACCTTCTTCATCTTATGTCACTAAATAAATATTCATATTTTGTTTATATGAATGAAGATGTTTCAAAAAATCTTTATTTATTTTCCTTCCTAACTGATATGTTTGTACGTGCTATAAACATCTTGTACACGTTTTTTCTTTGAATCTCTCATAGGTTATCTGTAAATGGTTTACTTTTGAATTTACAATCAGCTATTCAAGCACGTTCTCGTTATTTACAAAGTATTCATCATGAGAAAATAAGTCAAGCAGCCAATGAATTGTATTCACCTTCTGTATGGAAGAATAATTCTTATTCACAGATGAATTTAGGAATTTGTTGCTCAAATCAACTATCATGTTCAAAATATGTGCCAAATCAATGGGGATGGAAACTAATAGATTTATGTCGTTGTCATTCAACACATTTCCAAATGTTAAACCTTCAAAATGGTTTGTTTATTCATATATTTCAATATTTAATTTGTGTAATTTGATTACTATTTATTGGCATACTTATTATATTCTCTGTTGTTTTGTTGAATTGAATTGTTCGACCATTATTGGCATATAGGCTCCTATGCGGATGCCTCGATATTGCCTGAATGATAATTATGATAAATTGGTTGGTTGTGGCTAGCAGAAGAATCTGGGATGCGTGTTTCGTCGTATTTGGGACTCGTCAGCCGGACGTACCTGTACCCCAGTGATGTTGTTCCTACTGAGATTTGGACCTCGTACCCATCGCTTCAAACGTTAAAGCGTTATCTACTATGCTACAGAGGAACGATAGCCACTTCGTGTACAATATGTAATAGTTATTACTATTTATTGACATACTTATTATTCTCTGTTGTTTTGTTGGATCGAATTGTTCGACCTGTGTTGGGAACAACATCACTGGGGTGCAGGTACATCCAGCTGACGTGTCACAAATAGGACGAAACGCGCATCCTGGATTCTTCTACTGGCCATGACCAACCAAATGTCGTGTTTTCTGTAAATTTCCAACATTCCAATTATGATTGCCGATAACAGGGTAAACATTATGTTCCTCTTTGATATATATTTTTCAAATTTCCCTCTTTGAAAAGAATTTTTTAAGAATGATTAGAGTTAGATGAATACAGTCACTTACTAATCTGTCGTTGTTTACTGGTCAGTACTAATTTACCATAATTTCTTCATGAATTAATGTTTATCAGATTGCTTCATCTGCTTTGAAACATAGTTTCATAGAAACTATCAAGACCCCAGCAACATATTCTATGCAAACTAAAAGACTTATTGAAGAAAGAAGAGATAACTGACGTTATCTAGGGGGTCAGTTGAATCAACTAAGAACAATACTTTGTTGAGCACTTAAGTAGACTGGTAATGCAATGTCTTTATGAACACAAGTTGACTATCAAACGTTAGGATATAAAGTTTCTTATATTAACGCACTGTGATAAACATAACCATACATTCGATTGAGATCATTTCAAAATACTTGTACTTATTATTTCCCCTTTACTACCACATTGCAGTTTCACCCTCTTCTTTGCGGTCTTTTTGACCTGGCTCCATGATTGATCATATCATTTAATTTCTTCTTCACACGATCTACTTCATGTCACCATCGAATGCTCAACTCGTCGTTTCCCATCTGATTTTCATTCGACGGTATGACGTGCCACGTGATATCTCTAAACTATCTTCTTGATATATACCCAATCCAGTCCAATCCATCTCCACTTTCGGCTTCTGTATATTTGTTGGGCGGTGGTTTCTTTGTCAGCCAGAGTTTCGTGTTGCTTATTCTTCCTGGCCATTTGATCTTGAGTATCGAGTGAGCATGGATGGCAGCTATTGATGTTTGTCTGTAGTTTGTCGGAAATACTTGAATTTACAAGCTAAAAAGTGTACTCAAAGTAAAAGATCGTTATACTGGGTAATGATTGAAGGTGAAATGAAAATATGGGCAGCAGCCGGACTCGAACCATTGACCACTGGGTTTCCAGCTTCATACTCTACCAACTGAGTCACAACGTCCGACTTCTGACTAGATTTTTATTTCACTTCAGTCACTACGGGTTTTAACTGACCACCATGTGAATTTGTGACGTGTTACTGCCGCTTGATCGTATATACACTGGTTGCCTAGTCAGGACTTCTCATCCCAATCCGAATCCAAATGAATTAGAGACGGGGAGCATCATACTGATTATCATTTTGACTATCGCATTTGGTAGAGCATCGAACCGGAAGACCAGTGGTCTTCTGTTCAAATCCGTCGACGGTTCAAATTTTCTTTTCACCTTTAATCATTGTTCAATATCAAAACTTGCCTGCCAAACCACGGCTGTCTAGAATCGTAGAAATGATAAAAAAGGTCGTCGGTCAATCTAAACAAGACAAATTACTTATAAGTAACGGAAGGTCCATAGTTAACCATCAGTGCAAAATGAATGCCTCTTTTATGTAGAATGTAACTAATCAGCTGTAGTAGACGATATCTCTTCATTTTGAACAGATCGAAAAGTCAAATCAAGCCAATTTTCGCCAAATAATCAGAAGGAAGTGGTTTCAACATATCGAAAGCAAACAGAAACGACTGATGAAACCATATCTAAAGGCAGAAAATCGACCAGTCAGGTTCAGGGTACGCCTACACACTCACCAACCGACTAATTAGGTTACAGTCAAGTGAAAAAGAAATTCATATATATCTATGCATAACCTATCATGTAGCTTCCTTGGGAAGCTCTGAGATATTGATAACGATATCCAGTATTATAATGAAACCTTTTCCAACTAGAACTCTAGATCAGACAACAACTATTTCTGAACATCCATACCCTAAGCTACAAATATTCGCCACAACTACTTACTAAATATCAGTATTTTTAGCATACTTTTACCATGAAGACTGAATTAACTAAACAGTATGCATATATGATAAAAAGTATTGAGAACAAAGGAAAGAAAAGGAAAGGAGACAATAAGATGTACATAATGTTAGTAAAATAATCACTTCAAACAGCTACAATGTGTTGCCGAACCACCGCTTGTCCCGACGCGGAATTCTAGGGGAAAGTTGGATTGGGCAAGAATAAGGTTCAAAGTGGCCAGATGGAGACAGTGGAAGCAGTCAATGAAGTCCCTGACTGATGGTCTAAGCCATGAAGTGATATGTAGACTACTTTTTTGGGGTCCTGGAGGTGATAGGAATCAGTGATTGAGGACTCTTGGTGATATGGCTGATAATCGGTATACAACTGTGTAATGTGGCAACTTGATATGATTCAGTTGTTATTGTGGCAACTGGTTGGGAAGCAAAAGTGAACATGTTCAGACAATCGAAGGTATATAACTTAGGTTTTGTTGTCATCAAGGATCATTGATTTAACTGACTGACTGATTAAACATTCTACATGGAAGAAGTGATGTATAGTTGGAGTACAGAGAAACTGTTCAAATGTTTGATATCTTTCTATTCAACGTAAACGTAAATGTATTTCTGAGTAAGCATTTTACAATTCTATATCTCAGTGAAGAAATCACATTTAAAAGCATTGACTAAATGGGACTGGAATAGCCCGTCTGTAGGTTCTTTTATTTCAAATCTTTTCCAAATACATCAAAGTTACTTTTTGGACAGTATATGAAAACGACTTTCAAAATTACCTAAAATCTTTAACTGAGGATAACATAAAAAGAGTGTTGAAGTTAAGCAAAAATGCTTAGTTCATCTATAATGTAAAATCAATTTACGGATTACATATTTTGGCCATAAGTCTAGGTAAGATGAGGTAAATGTTAATACTTTTGCATTGTATCTAAGACCACTTTCAAACTTAGAACACATAGCATTAAAGGGAATATCGAACTGAGGAACAAATAGTCATTTATTGACTCTCCTAAGTCATCAAGACCAAACGTAGACAGTATAGCATCGCTGAGAGAAACCTAAACAGAACATAACTAAAAAATTGAAGGCAGATAACATTGTCTTCAACACTTAGCTGTGAGAATTGTTAGACTGCAAGTAGATAAAATGAAATGACAATCCAAACAGTATTTAGATGAAAGAAGACAGATACAAGTTAACAATATGATAAGTAAATGTACAGCAATGCAGTCATTATTGATAAAGTAGCAAATTTCATTCTTTAGCATCTATATGCTACTGGTGCCTTTCTACTATACTGGTATCTTAACAATATCGTGGTGCGTGAATGGAAGAGAGTGATCATTCTCGGAGGATATTTTTAGTCTAGTCTATAATGTCAAGTCAGTGCTGCTTTATGATTCAGAGACTTGTTATGTTACGAAAACCATTTCCAACAAACTACATACATTCATCGATACCTGCTATCCACGCTGGCTTGATACTGAAGATCTGATGGCCAAAAAAAATAAGCAACAGGGAACTCTGGCTGGCTAGCTGGCAACAAACCAACCAAGAACCTATCACCCAACAAATATGCAGAAGGAAATGGAGACGGATTGAATTGGGCAAACACTGAGAAGACCGATTGGGGACATCACGCGACAGGCCAGGCACTCAAGTGGAACCCCAATGGGAAACGACGAGTTGGTCGTCCGTGGTGGGGGTGACATGTAGGAGATGATGTGAGGAAGAAATGAGAGCCTGTGGGCAGTCGTGGTGCCAGGTCCAAAAAATTGCAGAGAGTAGAATGGAGACGTGCTACTGAAGCTCTTTATTCCACTAGGAACCCAAGGGACAAATAAATGATAAATAATAAACTAATGAGGATAAACTCTAGGAATTGGCCTGAAGATATTTCTCATAAATTCTACATTCTCCGGAACGATGTTACTCACTGACAATGCTGAACAAAATGGAGCGTTAAATAAAGCTTGTAAACACACATCTTAAGGATTGTATGGCTAAAGTATACGGTTAAACTTCTGTGGATAATAAACGAGTACTAATAGAAGAATCTTTCGAAGAACTTGTAAGAGTGTGAAGATTATTTTCTGTAGATAAAATCATTGAACAAAACTATATCGTTCCATTTCCTAGCAAGGCATACACTGAATCAAAATCTCTTCTTCATACTATTTAAACTACAAAGAACATTACCATCATAGGCCGATGTAGGTTGGAGAGTCGTCGGGAACCTTGGAGTACTATACAGCTATTTTGTCCTACTATAGGACTCCTCGGAAGATGGTGAAACAGAAGATGAACCAGTGAAGTGCAGTGTGGGGATGAATAACGAGAAGGGGAATCGAATACAACCTACAAAACACTACACTGGACAAAGAAGTGAAGAAGAGTGTGCACAAAGACAACAGATACTTCCACGACACATTTGCAAGTGAAGGAGAACAGACTGGTGGTAGGAGAGACAGATGCCTGACAACATTGGATCAGATAAGCAGGTTAGTATCGGAGACGGAAGAGGAGGGGAGGGAAGGGGAGGGGAGAGAACAACACAGCACAGATGTAAGCACTGAAAGATAGTGAATGAAACTTATTTGGCGGAGAGGAGAAGCAATGGAGACGATGAGCTGACCAGTTCAAAATATTCTTGAATCGACCAACGCCAACACCACCATCGCCACATGTGAGTCTGCCAGAAATACCACCAGCAGCCTACTCACAGAATTATCCGTCAAAATAAGCCCTCCGACAAGTCCTGAACGCCACATAGTTTCTGAAATCTGAGATGGCAGCAGGACCAGAAGGAATTCCTTCAGAAGAACTCAAACCAGACGCACAGACAGTAACGGACACGCTCACCCACTATTGCAGAAGGTTTGTAAGGAAGGAAGGAAGGATAGGTACCTGCCAATTAAAAGACGAGCTACCTTGTCAAACTTAAGAAGAAGGGCGACCTAAGTCTTTGCGAGAATCGGCGTGGAATCATGCTCCACGCCAGTTTACTGTTAGCAAAATAATAAGCCGCATCCACCACGAGAGACTAAAATATGCTCTGCATTCAAAATTACGACCTGAAAAGGCTGGCTGGCTTCAGGAACAACAAATCCTGAGTGGGTCAAATTGCAACGCTACGCTGAGTATCACCATAGAACGGAGCATAGAATGCTAGTCAACTCAACTCTACCCCCAACTTCATCCACTTTGAAAAGGCCTTCGGTCGAGGCTTCGACCAAAAAGTAATTTCGCAGGCAGCTACTTCAACACTGCGGTTTTTGTGCCACACACCTTTATCAACATCAGTCAACAGCAGCTATATTCTTTGCTATAGGATGGTGCTACATGAAAAGCGGTTCACAAAGGAAAGCTCAGCGAAGCCTTCAAAGTGAAGACAGAAGAAACATAAGATAAGATTGCCTATTTTCACCGATGATCTTCCTGATTTTGGTTGACTGGACTGGACTGGATCATGCAATACACAATTGTGAGGAGCTGTGAGAAGTTGGATCAAGGATAAGACCCCAGGAGATTTGGATTTCGCTAATAATGATTTATGCCTGTCTTGTCTTATTTTTTAACCTGACTCCACGACTGCCCACAAGCTTTCATTTCTTCCTCACACCATCTCGTCCATATCACCCTCCGACGCCCAACTCATCGTTTTCCATTTGGATTCCACTCAACGGCCTGGCCTGGCCTCACGCGTGATGTCTTCAAAACGTCTTCTCAGTTTATACACAATCCATCTCCACTTACCTCTGCATATTTGTTGGATGATGGTTGGTTGGTTCGTTGCCCGGCCAGAGTTCCTCCTTGTTTATTCTCTTTATTCTGGATATCTGATCTCCATCTTCAGTATCGAGTGAGCTTAGGCGATAGCTGTTGATGTGCTGTGTCTGAAGTGTGTTGGAAATACTTTTCATAACGCGTCGCTAAGTCTCTCAACCATCACACAGATGCACTGTCTTACTTGACAGACATTGGTGTTGAAAATTAGGATGTTGTTCAAGCTTTACGCTGTGTGCAGTGCAGTGCAGTAGATCTCGACGCTGATTACTTCATATCAATTCAGGAAGGGTTGTCTTGCTGTCTTTCCGATCCTGGCTTTGACATCTTCATCTAAACCTGTAATTGAAATGATGCTGCATAGGTGGGTAGGTGTGTGAAAGAGACAACCTACTTTAGGTTTCTCACGTTGGTGGTGATTAGTGCTTGCTGTTGTTGTGGTGGTTGTTGGTTGGGTATCTTCATCACCCAGCTTCTCTACGATCAGTTGAAGGAAATCCCATCTTCCCTCGCTGCCTTGCCTCTTCTGCCAACTTGTTAGTTTTTGCCAGTAGATCTTCGAGTTTGTGCGACAAGACATCACACATAAATCATCATCGGTGAAATTCAAATTTTGTTATTGGGTCTTTTCATCAGTCCAGCCAGCGCAGGCCCCTCTTCTCACAGCTCCTCACAGTTGTCTGTTGCATGATCCAGTCCAGTCAACCACAACATAATTAGGAAGATCATTGATGATAGTAGGTGGGAAGCTTGTCTTATTCCTGTCTTCACTTCAGATGCACCGAAATGGTATGAGGAGAATAAAAGTTTTCAAATTCTATTCTATCATAAACTGAATCTCAATTTCAGCACTTATTCAACAGAATTTATTCAACTCCTCGTTTTCCACCGAAGTAAGTCCGATATTCAGAACTGTTTATTATCATATCATACGCTGAAATCGTGATACAACTAGCATAAATTCACACATTTACTTGAAATATGCCATAGCAGATCTTATCAACAGTCCTAAATACATCACATTTGACAAGCTATATTTGACAGGCTTTCAGGCAACTATCTAAAACATCCTTGTCGTTGTACTGAAAGATGCGAAGAGATTCAGTGCCAGCAGGAAAAAACCTTGTCGAGCTGTTTATTTCAATAAAAATTTACAAATTATTAAATTATACCTTAATAGTGTTTCGTGACTTATAAACTACTGAAGATTACTTAGAGTAGAAATATAATAGATACATAACAATCATATTATATCTTGGAATGAATACTTATAACCATATTTTTGTTTATAATATTCCTCTGTTTCTAATGTATCATAAGGTACACGAATGATGTACTTCAATGGATTACAGACAGTACGTCTACAATTCCCCGTTCAACAGTATTCCCCATTACTATGGATTCAGTTTATGCTTCAAACAAGCCATTTGAATGGAACACTTTTGTATACTAAACCTGAGTCACAATATGAAGATTCGATTATTTACAATTTAATCAGTACAAATGGAGAAAGAAAACAGTTGTTAGATTATAAAAGAAAGTTATATTTTCATCATTTATCTCTTTATCAACAGCAGAAAGAATCTCTGAGAAATGAGTATGACTTTTTCGGTACAAGTTATCAACAATTTCAGATAGTAACTTCAAATGGGCATATCCATTTAAAGTATTTTGTTGATAAAAAGAAAGAGGTATGTATGATCTGATTGTTAATTTTCCAAACTTTTAAGTGAATTTATTTGAAGATGATATAATTAAGAGGATAAATTTGCAGATGATTTCCCACTGCTGGATGGTGTCTTAGGTGCCCCATTGTGGTACTAACAAGGTTTTCATTGAAAACTATTCATGAGCCAAGATTACAAGATGTAAACAGTGAGACAAAATTCTCATGAACTAGGGTAAAATACTGTCAGGTCAGTGCTCCTATATGGTTCAGAGACGGCGTGTCACCAAAAGCATTTCCAACAAACTACTCACATTCATCAACAACTACCATCTACGCTGCCTCGACACTGAAGATCTGATGATCAGAATAGTAGGAATAAGCAACAAGGAACTCACTGTGGCTGGCTGGCTGGCTGGCTGGGAACGAGCCAACCAACAACCTAGCACACAAATAATATGCACTGGAAGGAAGTCAAAATGGATTAGGGATACACTGAGAAGGCCGATTGGGGACATCACGCAACAGGCTAGGTCAGGCACTCGAGTGGAACCCAGATGTGAAATGACGAGTTGGGCGTTCGAGGCGAGTGTGACATGGAGTAGATCATGTGAGGAAGAAATGAAAGCTTGTGGGCATTCGTGGAGCCAGGTTTAAAGGATAGGAGAGAAGAGAGTGGAATGGAGACGTGTTACTGAATCCTTATGTTCCACTAGGAACCCAAAAGAAAAACAATAAATAATAATAAGGGTAAAATCCTGCTGAAAAATTTGGGTGGATAAAAACTATTCGTGTTGATCAGCTGATTGGAATAATTAGACTTTGTAATCTGAAGTTGTACGGGTGCACCACTGATAAGCTTGACCCTAAACGAGTAAAATGGCTTCCCGATGTTTAGATCATTCCTATTTATCTTGAGAAATCTACAAATCAGTGTGACTGTTATATTGTAAAGTCGTTGATTATGTCAAATTGTTAACTGTTCCGTTGCAGAAACTATCTTATGGAAAAAAAGGAAGTCAGTTTCATGTGATAGTTTAACGAATCATTTAGCAGTTTCAATGAAATTTACTGTAATTATCTTGGTTGTATTGTGTTCTCTGAGCTCGGTTGTTTAATCGTGAAGCTTTCATCATCCTTTCCTGTCAACAGGAAAGTCTATACAGTCAATGAAACAACAATCAAAGGAAACAACGAATCATAGACCGTTTCGTAAAGACAAGCTACTAAAACACTCATGGAGAAATATTGATAGGTCACTTCATAGTGAAGTTAGTGTTGATGATGTCGTCTAGAAGGATGATGAAAGCTTCACGATTAAACAACTCAACTCAGAGAACACAATACAACTAGGACCATCCACCTGAACTACAAATATTCTCCATTATTGTCATTATCCTGGTCAATATGGTCTGTAAAGTGAAATGTATTACTTTGAAACCATTTTGAAAATCGTCTGAATTCCTTGACTAGAAAAACAAAAAAGGCTTAGAAATACATATGAGATAACTAATGTTGAGAAAGCTATTTCTTTTCACAATAAAATGTTTAGAAAACTTCTGTTATGACTAAATCAGACTTGGAGCTAATATTCTTGCAAAATGATCTTTATATCTATGAAAGTTCAAAACTTCTATAGTGTGGGAGGATTAAAATCCATAAATGATATTCTAAATAAAGTTTATATGAAGATCCCATTTAAATCTACAAGTTCTGTAACAGATAACGTTTATCATCATAGGAATTCTGTCAACTCAATAAGACAAGATATTTTCATTGACCAAATACTTCACAATGACTATGAGGTCAAGTAAGAAAGTCACATTATCCTATTGGAGTCAGTTACGTTAGCGGAAAATATGAACTTAGCAAACTCCAGACTAAAAGATTCTGGAAATATAAGTAATCCATAAGGAAGATTTGACTTAAATAATAAGATATTGATATGACAATAATGGAGCATTGGTTTCTGACCCAGTGGCTCAATGGTAACGCCATGGCCGCGGAACCTGAAGGTCGCGGGTTCGATCCCTGCTGGTGGGGTCGTGGGTGCGCACTGCTGAGGAGTCCCATACTAGGACGAAACGGCTGTCCAGTGCTCCCAGGTTCCCTTTGTTCCTCCAACTGATGTCAGTCTACGATGAATAACAACTTGAAATATTTCCAAATTTCCACAACTCCCTCAAAATTTAAACATGTTTTGTATTTTTGAGATGAATGGGGTTTTTTAATTTAAAAGTATTATTCATCATGGACTGACATCAGTTGGGGGAACTATTGAAAATCTGGGATCACTGAACAGCTGTTTCGTCCTAGCATGGGTCTCCTCAGCAGTACGCACCCACGACCCGGCTAGGGGTCGAACTCAGCACCTTCAGGTTTCACGGCGAACTCCTTAACCATTCAGTCACTGGGTCAGTTTCCAGTGGTTCACAGTTTCCAACTTCTGTCAATTCACAACATAGCGCGACTGTCACCCAAGGTCTTCAGTTAGCATCCACTTCATTTCCGACTGGTTGACCTCACAGGTCACGGCTTCTCATTAGAACTTCCTGACATCCATTTGGAAGCAAGTCACCAATGAGCACTATAGAGTAATGTATTTTTGAGATGAATGGGACGAATAGGGATGAATAGGAGGAAACAGCTGTCCAGTGCTCTCAGATTTTCAATGGTTCCCCAACTGATGTCAGTCCATGATGAATACTACTTCTAAAAATGTTTTGTTCAAAGTTGTAATTATTAGGAAGATTCAATGAAATAGCACCGAAAATTATTAAATGTAAAAACTAGTTATGATAATGACAATAGGAGAGTACAAAGACTAATCTAACAAAAGTGGAAGTACAAAAAACAGTAGATACCAACAATTGCGTCACATCCTACAGCATTTATAAATGTACATGTGTGTGCGTCTGTGTGTGTGTCGATAAACATACATTATTATTATTATTTGTCCCTTGGATTCCTAGTGGAACATAAGGATTCAGTAACACGTCTCCATTCCACTCTCTTCTCTCCTATCCTTTAAACCTGGCTCCACGAATGCCCACAAGCTTTCATTTCTTCCCCACATGATCTACTCCATGTCACACTCGCCTCGAACGCCCAACTCGCCATTTCACATCTGGGTTCCACTCGAGTGCCTGACCTGGTCTGTCATGTGATGTCCCTAATCAGCCTTCTCAGTGTATCCCTAATCCATTTCGACTTCCTTCGAGTGTATATTTGTTGTGTGATAGGTTGTTGGTTGGCTCGTTCCCAGCCAACCAGCCAGCCAGCCAGAGTGAGTTCCTTGTTGCTTATTCCTACTATTCTGACTATCGGATCTTCAGTATCGAGGGAGCGTAGATGGTAGTTGTTGATGAATGTGAGTAGTTTGTTGGAAATGCTTTTGGTGACATGCCAAGTTTCTGAACTATATAGCAGGACTGACTTTACGTTGGTGTTTAAAATCTGGATCTTGTTCCACATGCTGAGTGACGAACATACATAGGGAGGACTAATCGTAGTAGACACTTTAGGGTAGGGGAACACGTACTGAAATGGATGCAAAAGCAGCGGGATTCACAAACATCGATAAGTGCAGGTGGCAGACAATCATTAACCATATTCCTTGTAAAGCATATCATTGATAAACGTCGATGAATTATTGTTCAGATAATCTACGTCTTTTAATTATATTTTTCAAATTATGTTAACAAATTTAAGCCGTATAACTTTGCTATCATTATAGTTTGAAATCATTTGTTTCTCCATGGAAATTTAAAACAAGCTACAAAGGTAATTAAAGCAGGATTTATTGAATTTATAAATTTAGGTAGGACTCGTCAGCTGAATACTCTACATACATGATTGTATATACTGTTGTGCAGTAAAGGAATACATACACGCATACAATACACCAGACTATGACACTGACTTAGGCATAGCAACACGGAGTGAATCATTTACTTATTTACACTGGGTGATAATTGAAGGTGAGAAGAAAGTTTGAACCACGGCGGGATTCGAACCAGCGACTATCGGATTTCCGGCTGGATGCTCTGAACCACGACTCAATTTTACTTCTGTCAAACAGAACTAAAATTAGGTTGGGCGAGAGGCGGGTAACGAATTGATAATGAAAAATAAAAGGACTGGAGATCGATTACATCATTTCGAACAGAACAATTACTAGTCAACTAAGTGCATACTAAGAGAATGTAGGTGGTAGGTAAACTAAGCTACTGATTATAGTAGTAATAGTAGTAGTAGTAGTAGTGAGTGATAATAATGAGAATAGGGATGTTGAGAAGATTAAAAACTACATGATTTTGAAACGAGGTAAATAAACATTAATTAAGAAGCTTGGTAACAGTGTAAAACTAAAGGAGGCTTGAATATTAGTTGAACAATAACAATGATAATAATGATGACTGTTGAGCGATGAAGTCCAAATGGACATAGATAGTATAGCAGAATGATGGTAAAGAGGTAAGTATGCGAGATACCTCAATACCTGTACAATGACTGGTTCAGGATGACTACCATCTTCTTCTGGGCACATAGGCTTGGTTTACGAACTCTAATCGCATATGCTTCCACGATTGTAAGCATTTTCTTATTCCACTATCTGCTGACAACCGAGAAGGTCTTAGTGGTGTCAACGTCATATCGATAATTCATTAAGTGTTTTGTAATCGAACTTCGCAGGATTTTTGATTGGGCTTGCCTCAACCATTTAGGCAAGTGCTCAGTCATACGAGTAGACAGATGCATTTCCGTACTTCCAAAAGTACATTCAAATTAGCATATGCAGTTAGATGTGTCGATGATTGGAGTCATATATTTTCCTGATAGCTGAAATATCCACCTGGTGGTGCTTAGATGCATAATAAGTTCTTTTGATGGCGTTGTCTAGCCTCCGGTTAACTCCTTCTAAGATATCGTCTCCTTTAAAAAGGCAGTTTAATAAATACTGACTTCGGCTATTTTCCATCCCATTGGGCAGTTAATCGGTGGTCTATATCTGACACTCTCCGTCAGAACATTCTGAACTAGACATTCATGGCCAAAGAATGGTTGTTCTCTTGTAGAAGTTTGCCTTTTGGAGAAACCTTCCTATCTTCGAACAACGTGAAGCGTGCTACGCTCGTATAATTTTGAAATATTTTTACCTCAGATGGATGGTCTTGGTTGTATTATATTCTCTCATCTGAGATGTTTAATCGTACTGAATTTAGTGCTGACGATGTCATCATCATGATTAAACAACCCAGCTCAGAGAATACAATACAACCAAGAAGATACTGACTTTTGGCAGCCAGCAGTAAAAAGTGCTGTTTCGCATTGTCTACTCTTTGAATACTTATTGAGAAAGCCTTGAAAGTTATCATTTCTTTTTTTAGCTAGGATATGGTTCAGTGTTTTCATTGCTCTATTTTAATTAAGTTTGTTGATTGTTTTCAATCATTATATTTTCATTTTATTACAAAATATCATGTCATTGAAATGTCTATAGATATCAATGTCATTTCAGTCATTGCATTGAATGAGGTCTATAACCTTCAAGTGTATCCCTTTCTAATACAAACTATCTGAATGTAAACTGTATATCTTCCTATTATTTAACTGTAATAAACTTGACTTCAATTAATTAATATACCTTCTTATTTACTTTTTCATTTAACAAGGTAATAGAATTACCGATGTATATATCTGATGGAAAATGGCATTATTTTGAAATGATACAAAACAATTCACATATGATTATTCACTTAGATCAAAATATATTTCATTATAGTAAGTTTTTTTTTTTCTTTTATGAATTCATGACAAGAACAAATAATTTTGATGTTAACTTGATGCTTAACAACGAAATCTATGACATGTACTTGATATCATTTGAAACTCTTCAGTAATTAATGGTGTTCCCACTACAACTCCTACAAATTACCTATCTTTTCAAAGGTCAAAGCTTTATCCATCAGGTCACTGAAGTAAGATATGATGCTGTTATAATATCCATTTTTCTAATAACCGTCGAATATACTACATCGCAATTTGATCTACTATATGATCGATAAGGGTAGAGAACATCACAAAGTTTCAGGTGTTTGACTACCATCACCTTCGTAGAATAAGCCATGTGTCGTGGTGCCATGTCATGTCAGTAACACAGAAGTCAGGTGTAGATTTTTAGGGGGCATTAGAGAGTCAGTGGATGTCATTGTGAACTTTCATCAACTCACTTGGCTAGGACATGTATTATGCATGTCTATTCACCCTCTGAGGCTAAGGTTGGATAAGGTTGCGGTCTGCGGGACAAGAGAAACCAGTGGTTGGAGACTCTAGGTGATATACCTAATAGTTAATATCAGTGGTGCAGATAGATTCTCATTTCATCTTCATCCTAAATGATTTCAGCATTATTTTTCACTCTTTTATCGCATCCTACTGCTTCCAACCAATTTTCTCTCCTAACTTCATCTTCCATCTTATTACTTTGTCACTAGATGTGTTTACATGAGGTGTGGAAACTTGGATGGTTAGGCTGGAATGCCTAGTTCTGCGTTGATATTGATGATGACGATGACTAAGATAACACACCCAGCCACCTATTGTGCAACAGGTAACGGCGTTGATACTCGTAATTTCTCGTCACTATACTGAGTCAAATCGCTCGATTTTAGTATCGAGGCATCCGCACGGGACAGAATCCCTTGAGTAGTTAAATTTTATTTTGAGGGAGTTGTGGGGATTTGGAAATATTTCAAGTTGTTATTCATCGTAGACTGACATCAGTTAGAGGAACAAAGGAAACCTCGTAGCACTGGAGAGCTGTTTCGTCTTAGTGTGGGACTGCTCCGCAAGGATCGAACCCGTGACCTTCAGGTCTCGTGGCCAGCACGTTACCATTGAGCCAATAGGTTACAATCCAATGCTCCAGATTCCTAACTTCTGTTACCTCACGATATAGCGCAACTGATTCCTGGCGGGGTCGTAGATGAGCACTGCTGAGGAGTCCCATACTAGTGTGACGAAACAGCTATCCAGTGCTCCCTGGTAACCTTTCTTCCTCCAACTGATCTTAGTCTACGATGAATAGCAACCTGAAATTTTATTTTGTGCATTCCTTATTACAGAACAACTGAAATGGTTTGTTGAAACATATTTTTCCACCGCTTAGCCTATACTGACTATTTTTTTTCTGTTTCCCTCATAAAGGAATAAATTTAACCATTTCCAGGTTACCTATTCAACAAATAATTATTGGATCAGCTAACACACAGCAGTCATCCTCAGTGTTGACAAATCCAAAGAGTAGTAATCAAATCACTGGTTACACTGGAGGAATTGCATACCTGTTATACAATGGTATGGATGTTGTAACACACAATACAAAGCGAATAACTCAATGTTACTATAATGAAAGCAAACAAGATATAGACTTTCAATATTCATTGAATAAATGGATAATAGAATTCAATGCTCAATTGTTACAATATAACACAGAAATGAAGCCAATTAATTATGATTATCCGATTCGTTTTAAACAGTCAAAATGTTACCTCTCATTGTTCAATCATTCAATGGATTCACAGTTATCCATTAAGTTTTCGTTTAAATCATTTGTTGATCAAGGTATACTATTATTTATTTCAAATAAATATCAAAATGACAGTTTTTTACTCATTGAATTATTCAATGGTCACATCCATTTCAGTGTATATTTTAATATGAAAGTGTTAACAAAAACCACAATGGAATCACAAATATACTACAATGATACAAAATGGCATACAGTTGAAGTTTTCAGGTAAGAGGGCGTTGGTTTTCATTTCTTAGCAAAAGATATTTTAGCGCACATTGGTGATTGGACATTGAATAATGATTACTTTTATGTTGTCTAACCCCCAGTGCTTATCGAAGTCTACTGATCATTTTACAGTGTGACTATCAAGCAAAAAACGTTGCAGTCAAGTGGCTCCTTGATAGATTTCAGTTGATTCGAGGTAATTGTCAGGAAGCTCTATTAGACTCACGTTTCGCGCTTGTTGGCACTCGCCAGTAAAGTGAATCTACAACCTAGAGGAAACTGATGTTCTCTGAGAGATTAGAAGCCGCGTTCTGCTCTGTTCTACTGTATGGTTATGAAACATGTCTGTTGAAAGTGGAAGACATGGGAAGGCTTCAGGTATTTGACCATCGTTGCCTCCGTAGTATAGGCCGTATTCCGTGGTGTCACCACGTGAGTAACGCAAAAGTCAGGAGCAGAGTTTTAGGCAGTAGAGGTAAGACAGTTGATGCGGTTGTGGACCTTCATCGACTGAGGTGGTTATTTGGGACATGTGTTACTCCTATCTAGTCACCGATTGCGTCGCTATACAATATTGGCCAAAATAGTTTCAAGCTGGGAAAAGGCCCTGGGTGGCCAGACTAAAACATAGCATAAATGTATGAAGTGTTTGACTGTTGGTTCGAGCCATGTAGGGCGATGCAGACTAGCCGGTTGGGGCGTGTCTATCTTGATTTGCTCCTAATACACCCACATTGTCTCGGGCCTTTCTCTGCGTATGATTTCTGCCGCCCTCTCAACATATACTACTTATATCCCTTCTGATCAGCAATGCCCATTACACTCATTCCCCCCCCCCCCGCCACCGTCAAAATTTCGAGTTTGCAGCCGTGTTGATCGTCTTGGTGATGTCTTCTCTTGATGTTCAGGCAGCCTCTATTCTTTTTCCCAAAGTCTTCATTTTTGAAGTAGGTTTGCCAACTTCACAGCCAATACAATTCGGTATTTGTCTATTACAAGTTTCGTGTTCCGGAACTGCTGCATCGCCACCTTCCTATCCACTGAGCTATCAAACTCCACCTCCAGTCTTTCAACCATTCTCTCCCAAATCTCCTTTCTATCCATGCTGTCATACGCAATTTTTGCTCTACTCCTCAGCAATGTACTAACCACCACAACCTTCTCTCCTGGATACGGATGCGACCGACCCGAAGTCCCTGAGGAAGATCTTGACGTCTCCATCCTCAAACACTGCAGGCCACAGAATTTCCACCACATCCAGGAGCAGCGACACCAATTGTATGAAACGATAAGATGAGGACGAAGGAGGGAATGTTCATTATTGACACATTGCACACTAGTCGTCGAATATTGTACACCTTTAACTAAGATAGTCATTTGCATAATGTGCTTCATTTCCTCTTCTGCATCTATCTTGATTTGCTCTTAATACGCTCGCATCATCTCTTGCATTTCTCTTCCTATGACTTCTACCTTCCTCTCAATATATACTACTTATATCCTTACTGATCAACAATGCTCACTACAGCAGTTCATGATGAACACCCACTGGAAATCAATAAATTCCCACAAACCCCTGAACTAAATTACCAAATAGCGGTACATTGACCTGACGGTTGGTTTACCTACGTGTTAGGATGCCGCTTTAAGTATATTTGTTGACAGTTGAGTTGACATCAACAACCTGAAGCGACATAACAACAAACTACTGAGACCAGTAAATTTAAGAACAAATTTTTTCATAATTTTCATGTCGTTTGTAATATGAAAGAATTTGCATCACACACTTAACACTTTTAAGAGATCAGAAAATGTAATAGAATGTGAATATGCATCGATTGCTATTCATGGATTTCTATCAACGTTGAGTCTTTCCGCATGCTGCTTCATGTAGCTTGAATATTAATTGTTTCCTGTATCATGTTATACATCAAATAATTTTTTTTTTCGCTACTCACTTCATGCTAAGATCTAGAAAAGCGAACTTCAAAAACATTACAGATTCAGCTTCCTGATGTCTGTCTTACTCTTATATTTGTATTATGATATTCGGTTGACCTTTTTTGGTACTTGTGAATGGCATAAACTGTAGTGAACGAATTAAATGTATAGCTGATAGTAAGAAAAACTAGAAAATGGTCAGTCGTTACATGACCTCATTACAAGGGGTTGAATTATTCGCTTAGTAAACTAACGATTTCATTGTTCATTACACATAGTACGCAGTCTGTGGTTTACAGACTTAGCATACACAATTACGCGTGATCAAGGTTTTTTATAGCTAAAAATAACTGATACTCAGTGTTATTTAGTCTAAACAAAAGGTAGATAGTGCCCAGTAATCGAGTCCTAACTAAGACTCATCAGCTGGATGTACCTATACCCCCAGGGAATGATGGTTTACTCACTGAGACTCCCATTACTTCAAAAGCTAGAGTGTTATCCACTAGCCTCATGAGTTAAAGTTATAATTTTGATTTGCTTTAGCCTCTAATTTCCCACTTATGTCCTGACCTCTACCAGGAGTCACTATTCATTGTTACTACAAAAAAATTATACGAAATACTGAGATATTCTTACAGGAACTCGTGAAGGAATAGTGACTAATAGTGACTTTAACCCTAAGGCCTGAAAATTGCAAACTATACTATAATTATTGCATAAAGAGTAGCTATCGTGATTCAGAGATGTAGTGGATAACTCTCTGGCAAGCAAAGCGATAGTTCATGGATTCGCGTTGTATTCAGAACAGCATTATAAAACTGGAAGGCAGGTATATAATACTGACGAGCTGCAGGTGTGGCCAAACTCTCATCCTGGATTCCACTGTTAGCTACTGTCTGTCACTGATATCATATCATCATTACCAGTACTTACCTTGAGTTCTTGATTGTAAACTGGTTCGATTCATATTTTTCTGTGAGAAGACAGTACACTCCGCACAGAGGGAAACGCTCTACTTCACTGCTTAGTGAAGCCAATGTGCTTCAGTATGCTCTCCCTTCTCCTTTCCTCTTCTCTTTCTTTTTGCATGACTTACCAACTTCAACTAGAGCTAACTTTGTTTAGTATGCTAATGATCTGACAGTATCCATGCCGATCATCTCTTCTGATTGTTCTCAAGTTAATAACTTCTTAAAGGAAATTGATTACTGGTCTTCCTTAAACGGCCTCACACTCTATCCCTCCAAATGTCAGATGGTTAGATTTAGCTTAAGACATGAAAAAGACCTTTGCATATTGCTTCAGTCACATGACTTTTGTCATGTAGATGGTTCTGTTATACAGAATGTAGTAAGCGTGGTCCATCTTGGCTTATGCTTTTCTCCTGATCTTTCTTCATCCCCTCATATCTCACTGATTTCCAGGAAAACTCTAAGCTTGACCTTTTATATTAAGAAGCGCAGATTGTCTGGTATAAATCAGCCTCTACTCTTATGTTGCATTAATTCCTTCGTTTTACTTATACCTACTTGTTGTTGCACCTTATTCTTTTCTTGACTTCGGAAAAAACGACTATGTTGTATTACATAAGATTTTGAAGGCTTTAAGTAGAGCAAATAGCACACACCTAACCAAGCTGATACATTCAATTGTGGATAGGCATCTGAACTATTGTAGACTACTGGCTAAAAATATATTATCTGATGACAAGCATCCTCTGGATCCGTACCTGTTTGTATGTCAGTCGTCTGAGAAGACAAGAAGAAAATGTATTAAACTCTATGCAAACACAACCACATACAAAACTTCAATCATTCCAGCTTATTTAGCTTGTGTATTGTATGAAGAAAATCTTGTTAGACCATAGTCTTATCAATCGAGTGTCTAATAGCAATTAGTTATCATATACCTGAAGACCCTCAACAATTCAACCATCCTGTTATTCTTTATTATATATTGTTAAGCAGTTGGATTGTTAATGTTTTAAAAACATTGTACCATGAGTAGATTGACGTAATAACACACGCTGAGAACTATGTACCGTAACTGTAACTATGGTGCTGAATAAAGTAAATACATAATGATTATTATTACTCGTTTATTCTTTTCTCTTTTTATTTCACTTAGACCAAATAAACAGAAAAATATATTTTCGCTTCGAACAAATACACAAATGTCAATGGATACATTCTCTGAGATACAGTTACCTGAACACTTCAATATAGATCAATACATTTCAAGTTCTGTCATCAATATTGGAGGATGTTCATCATCGGATTATATAAGATTTAGAAAAAATATTAATTCTAGAAGAGGTTTTCAGGTTAGTATTGGTAATATGTTGACTAAAGGTGAATATTTTTTACAATGTATTTCATAGTAACACTTCGTTTTACTCCTTATTAAATTATCAGCGATACTTTTGAAATGATACAGGAGTAAGACAAGGTTGGCGCTTACTATCATCATCGATGATCTTGCTGATTGCAGTGCACTGGACTAGATCATACAATAGACGACTGTCGGTAGCTGTGAGAAGAAGGGCATACGCTGGCTGGGCCGATGAAAATACCCTAGAAGATTTAGGTTTCGCCAGTGATGATGATTTATGTGTAATATCTTGTCACACAAACTCGATCTATACTGAAAAACCAAACAAGTTGGCAAAAGAGGCAAGGCAGCTAACGAGACTTCTCTCAGATGAAAGTAAAGAAAACAGAGGTGATGAAGATGCCTAACCAACAACAACAAGCATCAATCACCATTAACGGGAGAAATCTAAAAGGCGAATTTGTCTCTTTCACCCACCTACCCACGTAGGCTGCATCGTTTCAACTACAGGCGTCGGCGGCAGCACAGATGATGATGTCAAAGTCAGGATCAGAAAGACAGCAAGACAGGCCTTCCTGAATTAATCTGAAATAATCAGTGGGGAGACCTACTACACTCCACTGCACTGCACTGCTATCAGCATAAAGCGTGAACAACATGCTGGTTTTCAAAACCAATGTCAGTCAAGTAAATCAGTGCTTCTATGTGATAGTTGAGAGACTTGGTGGCGTATTACGAAAAGCATTTCCAACAAACTGCAGACATACATCAGCAGCTGCCTATCCTCGATACTGAACATCAGATCATTAAAATAATAAGAATAAGCAAGGAGGAAGTCTGGTTGGTAACGAACCAACCAAGAAGCTATCGCCGAACAAATACGCAGAAGCAAGTGGAGATGAACTGGATTGGACTCGACTGCGTATTCATGCCAGGCCAGGCGAGGCCGTCGAGTGGAATCCAAAGGGGAAACAACAAGTTAGGCGTCCAATGAGACGGTGATATGGAGGAGATGGTGTGGGGAAGAAATGAAAGCTTGTGAACAGTCATGGAGCCAGGTCAAAAAAAGAAGACCGGCGAGAAGAGAGTGAAATAGCGACATGCTTCTGAATCCCTATGTTCCACTAAGAACTCAAGGTACAAGTAATAATAAATCATCAGTGAGAATTTTGTCAAATAGATAGTGAATTTTAGCGTATAAAGTTTTACTTTCATCTGATAATTTGTATTTAGATTGCCTTACTACATGTTTATTAATATTGGTCATTGAAAATATCAGCGCGCTTTTTAAATATTTAATTGTGAGGAATGGAATGTCATTATTTCACATGCTTTCACGTAAACTTAATGTAGCAATAAAGGAACAGACTAATTATAATTATGATCAAAATTATTTATTTCATAGACTTCTTGAACAGAATAATGGCCATAGAAATAGTCGTGTTAGATAATAAAAAAAGACAATTCAGGGAAGAAAATTTTCTTTTTTCCGAATCATTTTCACTTGTAGTTACAATAGCCACGATCCATCATTAACATAATTAGAACGCAGGCAATATCGAAGCATCCGCACGGGAGCCCATATACCAATAGAGACCGATCAATTCGGTCCAATCAACGACGGTATGATATAAAAGCAATTATACTAAAACTATACCCATCGCACAAGAAGTGGCTATCGTGGCTCGATGGTGTAGTGGACAACGCACTGGCGTTTGAAGCGATCGCCCCTGCGTCCGAATCCCGGTGGGAACAGGAAGCAGGTGCATCCAACTAACAAGTCCCAAATAGGACGGAATGTGCATCCTGGATTCCACTGCTGACCACGATCCATCATTAACAAAATACATATATATTGAATTTTGAGGGAGTTGTGGAGATTTGGAAATATTTTAAGTTGTTATTCATCGTAGACTGATATCAGTTGGAGGAACAAAGGAGACCTCGGGGCACTGGATAGCTGTTTCGTCCTAACTATCCAGTGCTCCCAGGTTTCCTTTGTTCCTCCAACTGATGTCAGTCTACGATGAATAACAACTTGAAAATATAAATACGTGTTTGATATAACGATGGAGATAATAATGCAAATAATAATAATGAAACTTTTTTGAGGGGGTTGTGGAGATGAAACTGATAGAAGTGGTGACGTTGACTAAAGCACATGCAATATAGATAATGACAATAATGATAAGAACTAAGAAAGCAGTATGAAAATGTAGACATTCCGATAATCGAAATAGGTTAAAAGCTTGTGAAAATAAAAGACGCTTAATAGTGAAAGGCGAGGTAAGTGGATAAACAAAGCCTAGACAAATACAGTAAGTATACGAAAGGGGTGAAGAATAAGAAAAGGGGTAAGGAAAGAAAAACTGAATGACAAAGTATTCACTGGCCTAGGGAGAGATAAGGGGTGTACGAACTTCTTCTGGGTACAGAGGTTAGGATTATTAGCTCGAATTCTCACAGCTTTGTTTATCCACTTACCTTACCCTTCACTATTAGGTAATTTTTATTTTCACAAGCTTTTGACCAATTTCGATCGTCAATGTCTACATTTTCATGCTGCTTTTTTGGTTCTCATCATCATTATCATATATATACGTCGATAGTTAATAGGTCAGTATAAAGCCACTAAAAATGGTCGATAAAATCACAAGGCGAGGTCAGTCGCAGCCCGAATAGCTCAGTGGTAAAGTCTCTGACCACAACACTGGGTGGTGAGGTTTCGAATCTCACCAGTCCCGTCGATGTTGCAGATACGCCTTGCTGACGAGTGCCAGAAAGCACGAAACCTAGGTCCAAGGCTTTCTGACGATTGCCTCCAACTAACTAACATAAGCTAAGAATATTTTTGTGAGATATCACTGGATGAGTTGAATTTCTCTAATCAGTTTGTCCGATGAATAAAGTTTCTTGGTCCTATGAAATTACAGTATTAAAAAGGGAGTCACTGTCCACTCTGTTTTTTTTTCTGCAAACAGTTCTCTGACACGATCCATTTTTTCTTTGTCAAAGTCTCGAGTATGTGATCATCATTAATTGACTGTATATTTATCACTAATTTGTCTGTGTAACCGTGTTGCAAAGCGAACTTCAATGCTTACTTCGTTGGGTTATGTAATGAATACTTGATAAATTTTTCATCATAAACCTTACTAATATAACAACTAATATTGTGTGCATCTTTTTTAACAACAGGGTTGTATAGCAAATTTTCAGTTAAGTCATAAGCCTACCATTAATCTTCTACAATCAGCTCAAATACTTCCAAATCTTAATTGTATTGATCAGATAGTTCCAAACTGTGAGCTGCATACATTTGGTTGTGCTTTGATGCACAAAAGTAATGCTTACTCGTATAAATCCAATTTTTATAATTTGGAAACTCATGTAGAAGGAGATGAAGAAGAAGTAGCAGAAGAGACATTTAATGAACATATGTGTTACAATGATGGAAAATGCTTTCAAGTATTGAACAAATTTTATTGTGTATGTGATCTAACAACATTTCAAGGTCATCAGTGTAATGAAGGTAAGACTGTGAATCTTCGCTGTTTATCATTGTTTTTTATCATTATTTAGTAAATAAACTCATCATACTCTATAATTTCTCATGTTTCTGTCCAGTCTATTAAAAAAGGTTGAAAAGAAGCCAATAGAAGAAAGTTCGGCTGCAAGTTAATTTTTTTTACAGTAGTGTTTAAATGGGCTAAAGTTGTCACCTGTCAAGGTCATGACGCAAGTGCACCATTTGAAAAAAAGATAAACCCAACTTTGTTTCCTTGGATAAGTGCAAATTTTATCAAAAGTTCTGTTGAAAAGTGACCTACAAAAACCAAATTATACGGCCAAACTCAAGGCTGAGTCAGAAAGAAATACCAATACTACTTCAGAATAATTTCACAAACAAAAAAATTGTGTGATGGGAGTAAATGAGCCAGAAATCTTCCTTGACCATTGTTCTTGTTTTTTGGAACTCATCAACAAGACATTTCTGAAGAGATGAGAGAACTGGCTTTACTTCAGTGATTTGAATACGTGTCACTCAGTATTGAAGTCAGGAAACGAACTGGCCACCAGTGGATTGCAGATACGCCTTCCTTACAAGTGGTTGCAACAACAATATCTAAGTCGAGGAGGGTATCCTGCTGATCACCTGTCATCATCTAACGCCAAAATACATTGCAGAGAAAGAGTATGATTTGCCGGATAATGTCCCAGACACAATTTATTATCCATAGTCATATCAGATAGACGATGCACTGCATCACCTCATCTCTTCGCTTCGTAGTCATCAGAGTTAAGATCTCCGCACTTAAACAGATGCTATAGTAACCTACTGTTGAGTAATTCTTGTGAAGATTAAAATCTCATAACCAAATGGAACTGTAGTTAGAAACGGAATATAAAAGCAACACATTATAGTATTTGTCTGTCTGAAATGATTTTGAATACACCGACAACTTTCGGTAACATCTCTAACGATACTATTCACTAGTAAAATGTGGAAATCCTATCTTATACACTCCAAGTTCTTTCATTCCAGAACGTTTTTTAAATATTTCCGCTTAAGAGTTTAAGCAGAAAATAAAACGAATGCAAGAAAAACGTTTGAGAAATATTTTATGGATTAGCATAATGTCGTTGATGACATTGGTACACCATGACTCAGATGTAGGTATACCTACATCACAGCATAACCATGTAGATGGGTTCTTGATCCTTCCTGATAATTAAAAAAAAGTAACACCAAGCGAAACTGAACAAGTCGACTCGAAAATATGATACGACATTTCACTTTAAGGATTTTAAGAATACTATATTCTAGGAATCGGTGTTCCCATTGAGTATAAAGTTTCTTTTGAGCACATAATGACAGTGTTGTTGATCATATTACATTTCATTATTGATATGAATGAAGTTTACAGTTAAGGCAGGTTTTCCAGAAAAACTCAAATAAAAATATTCCATATTAGATTTGTTTATTTGCTTTATAACACATAATGATACAATAGTATTCACATAATGATCACGTTTCAAGGAGAAATTATTTATGTCAATGTAACCATATAACTGTCGACATCTGATTTTTATAGTCGTACAGGTGTATAGTCGTGTCTGACCTCCATAGTCTTCAAGTTTCATGAAAAAAAATATATAGACAAACAGAAGGAGTAGCAATGGGATCGACAATATTACCAATCCTACTAGATAAATTTATGGATAGTTGAGAAGACATGACTTTACAACTGTTCAATCCTTCACCTAAGATTTGGTGGCGATATGTGGATGACACATTCATCGTATCGAAATTGAAACATATCGACAATTTCCAGACACATTTGAACTCTATAGTAGGCGCAATCCAATTCAATTACGAGGTAGAAAATGAACACGGGAAAAATTACGTATGTTGAATTGTAGGATGAAATAAAGGAAAGACGATGGTTTGCAGAAAAGGGATCTTCAGCTAAGCTGGAATTAGGGTGGTATTTAAACCTATAAACTCAGTCAGGGATAATCTTTGTCGGCTGGCTTAAGGATACGATCGATCCAATTAATCAAAATGATCTAATCTGTCAAATTCCATGTAATGAGATCAAGTATATAGGTCAAACTAGTCCTGATGGTCGGGGTCAGTTAGAATAGCGGGACATGGGAGTTTACTTAAATATAGAATCCGATCAATAATCTAGAAAAGCGCTTGGCTATTGAAATGCATGGATTAACACACAACCACAAAATAGGTTTGGATAAGTCCAAAAATATGATTAGATGGAACGAGACGTTGATTACTGAATCTTTGTTCATCGAATCAGCCAACACCCGAAACATGTAATAAGAATGACGCAACACCTATGCCAGAGATATGGATGATTTTATTGCCAGAATGTTTTTGCTGACCGATTTTTTATGCTTTGACATGGCTGTCAAGCATGAATATTATCATGACCGAAAGAAACTGTACTGGCGGAACACTTGTTTCCTCGAGGTTATATCATACCTCATAGGTTGGTTGAGTTGAGGTTAGAAAACAACAAGTCCAAGGGCGAATTCATACTGTTGGCTGGATGGAGGTGTGATAGCTGCGGGGTGTTTCTAATAGATGACCAGTAGTGTCACACTGAAGCTGCCTTCCTTATTGGAAGATGGGGTTAGAAAAATGGTAGGTCTTAAGAACGGCTGACTCGTCTCTACCCCGCAGCATACTGACGCTGGCAATATAAGCTAAAAATAAAATTCGAAACTAACAAACTTAAACCTTAAACATCTAAAAAGGCAGTGTATGACAAGCCTGTAGTAGATGTCACTTGGGCTCTGCAGTCTCGCAATAACCATTCCATTTCAGGTACTTCACGGCGAACTAGCCATGCACGGTGTGGACAGCCTACATGCTTCTGGCTTTCAGTAATTAGGTTGGTATTCATCATAAGCTGACATCAACTGGGGAAACATTTGAAATCTAGCAGCGCTGACAGCTGTTTCGTCCTGATATGACACTCCTCAGCGGCACATGCCTATGACTCCGCACCCCGGGGATCGTAGCCAGGGCCCTCAGGTTCTGTAAACGGCACTATACCGTTGAGCCAGTGGACCAGAATCAAGTGGTCCATATTTCGCTTTCAAACCTGTGAGAAATTTAACTGGCGGTATCTGAAAGATGTCAGGACCAGATGGATTTTCTCCAGAAGCACTGGAAACAGACGCAGAGACATCAGCGGACATGCTCACACCACCACTGCAGAAGGTTTGCGAGGAAGGAAGGAAAGGTACCTGCAAGTTGAAAGAAAGGCTACCTTATCAAACTCCCAAATCAGGGCGATCTAAGTCTTTGCAAGAACAAGAAATGGCACGGAATTATGCTCCCGTCCACCCCAAGTAAAATATTAGGCCACATCATTCTGGAGAGAATTTAAAAAATCTGGACTCAAAATTACCACCGAAAAAAGGTGGCTGACTTAATGGAAAACAAATCAAGTACGGATCAAACTGCAACGCTACGATACGCATCATCATAGAAGAGAGTATAGAATGACAGTCATTTACTCTGGACCTCAAAATCATTCAATTTGAAAACGCCTTCGACAGAGTCAACCGAGAAGTCACTTGGCAGCTGCTGCTTCAAGACTACGGTTTTAGTGCCACAAACCTTTATCAACGTTACTCAACGCCTATATGCTATATGATGAGGCTACATGCGAGGTGATTCACAATGGAAAGCTCACTTATGCCTTTGAAAGGAAGTAAAAACAGTAGTAAGACAAAATCGTCGCCTACTATCATCAATGATCTTCATAGTTGTGTTGTGGTCGACTGGCCTGGATCATACAACAGACACCTGTAATGAGCTGTGAGAAGATGGGCATACGATGACTGGACCGATGAAAAGACCCAACAACAAAATTTGAATTTCACAGATGATGATTTATGTGTAATGTCTTGTTGCACAAACCCGAAGATCTACAGGCAAAAACCAACAAGTTGACAGAAGACGTAGCGAAGACCAGAATTAAAGTGAACGTAGAGACGACATAGGTAGTGAAGATACCCAACCAACAACAACAAACAGCAATCACATCAACGAAAGAGATCTAAAGGAAGTTGTCCCTTCCACCCACCTAGGCATGGCAGCATCGTTTCAACTACAGGCAAAGGCGGCGGCACAGATGAGGATGTCAAAGCCAGGATCACAAAGACAGTAAAATAGGCTATTCTAAATTAATCTGAAATAATCAGTGTGGAGATCTACTTCACTCCACTCCACCCTATTCCACCGCACTCAGCATAAAGCGTGAACAACATCCGGGTTTTCAACACCAATGTCAGTCAAGTAAATCAGTGCTTCCATGTGATGCTTGAGAGACTTGGCTGCGTGTCACCAAAAGCATTTCCAACAAACTACACACACACACACATACATCACATCAGCAGCTGCTGCTGCCGCCCACACCCACACCCACGCTCACTCGATACTGACAGAGAAGATGGAGATCAGATGGACAGAATAATAATAATGATAATAATAATAATAATCAATGAGGAAGTCTGGCTGACTGACTGACTAACTGACTGATAACTAACCAATCGACCAGAAACCAACAACCAACCTACAACCTCGAGAGAACTCATGCCTCATGTAAGATTTGAGCCTACATCACCCAGTGCTGAAGTTAGTGGTGTTAGCATTGAACTTTATCGGCCACAAATAATCTCCTGTGGGATTGGATTACATATCTGCCGATTGTTTTTAACCATCAAAGTGCACAGCAATGGTGAGTCTGCTAGCTTGATGGCCTTATTGCTAAGAGTCTGTTGAATTCGGTCTACACTTAGGACTAGAAAACATGAGATTGGTTCCCCCCCCCGCCCCCCCCGAGTTCTCTTCGATCAAATTTTCATCTTAAAAACTATTTTGATTAACTTTTGTTTTGCTTTCCTTTCTCCAGTAGGTACAACTTTACACTTTGGTAAAGTTAATTCATTTATGAAATCCTTAAATCTAAATGAAACTTTAATGGAATTAGACCAAGTTGCTGGTTTTGTACACTTTCAAATTGAATCAAATCATATACCAAAGACATTAAACCCCGTCAATACTGATATATTAATTGAAATATTCAGTTTAGGTATACAACTTGAATTACTCATGACAGAGATTGCTGATCAAGTTAAGGTATCCAGTGATTATGTAACTTTACTGTATGCATCTACTGGTGAAAATATTGATTTGACATACCTTCATGTATATCTGGTAAGTGTTTATACTTGTAAAGTGATAATGTACACTATCAAAATGATTTATTTTGTTAGAAATAACTTCTTATGTCTGTTATATTTTTGAACAATACTAGAACAAAGATATTTACAGAATACATCATGAGCTCATTTTATTTCGTCGCCTTTCATCAGCTGCAAACAGTCTACACTTGAAATGAACTAGTATTAGTAGTAATAATAACATAACATACTTTAAACACACACACAGAAATAAATGGAGATTTGAAATCCAGGATTAACAATAAGGTAGTAAGTCAAGGGAGCACAAGATTAATAGTTAGATATCTTATTCAAAATCTATGGTTATTTATATCTGATGAGATGGAAAATTCTGGAGCTGTGGAGGAGGGGGGGACAACGAATGAAAATCAGTGTAAAAGAAGAGACTGGTTAAGGGCTAATCGGTTACATAACCACATGAAAAACTTGAAAATAGTTAGGTCAGTGCTTCTGTATGCTTCAGAAATTTGGCGCGTCATTCGAAGCGCTCCCAACAAACTACAGACATTCATCAACAGCTGTCGCCCACGCTCACTCGATACTGAAGATCGGATGGCCAGAATAATTAGAGTGAGCAACAAGGAACTCTGGCTGGCTGGTAACGAACCAACCAAGAACCTGTCACTCAACAAGTATGCAGAACAAAGTGGAGATGGACTGGATTGAGCATACACTGAGAAGGCCAATTGAGGACATCACGCGTCAGGCCACGCGAGGCCATTGAGTGGAATCCAAGAGGGAAACTACTAGTTGGGCGTCCAAGGTGAGGGTGACATGGAGGAGATCATGTGAGGAAGAAATGAAAGCTTGTGGGCAGCCGTGGAGTGAGGTTGAAAAGACTGCAGAGAAGAGAGTGGAATGGAGGCTTGCTACTGAATCCCTATGTTACGCTCGGAATCGAAGGGAATAATAATGGTAATAATAACTACTGAGGAGATGATCAAATCAAAGAAAAGGGATGACTATATACATACATATGCAAAACATTTATATACATTTACCAAAGTAAAGAAAGGTTAATTACGGTCTCCTTGTGAGTACATAGATCAGATTGAAAATGTTTGAAAGTGAGAGCTTCTACAAACCGTAATAAACATGGTGTTTTTAGTTCGTTGATTATCCTAAGAGATTGAGAAAAATCTTTTTCATGTCCTATTCCCATCAGATGCATGTGAATTGGGCTTTTAAAGACCTTTCTACCATCCAGATACAGATTTCTCAGGATATGCTCACAAAATCGAGCAGAAGCCCTTCTTTCAGTCCATCCTATGTACTTGCTTCCACAAGCACAGGTGAATTGATATACACAGTTAGAGGTGACGTGAGATAGATGTTTCTCTAATTTCGACTGTGTCATAGGGCATAGCATATTGTAAAGTGAGATCAGTCTGAAAGCCGGGAAGCTCCTTCTGAGTGTAGCTTTTATTCTCCTTTCTATTCTTTCATATATCTCGTCACCTTTGAATGCTAGGCAAAAGAAAACAGGCTTCCTATCAAAAGTTCGATGTTCTGGTCTCTCAATAAGTTCTTTTCCATGCTCCATGATGAATTCCTTTGGATACTCGTTCTCTGTAAGAACCTTCTCAATTATATCGAATTCTTCTAGTGAATAAACCACGTCTATAGCTGACACGATAGAAGCTATTGTAGTAAAGATAGTGACCAATCCACGTGTCTTTTCTGTGGATAGTTCTCTCAACTGTACCACTACATTTCCTTCTTTTACTTATATCCAAAAAACTGGATGACCTTGATTGAAGGTGTCGAACCACTTTGATGCATGATCCATATTATCATAAACAATGAAATTATCACCAACATACCTGCAGTAATGTGTAGTTTACTTGATCGCAGAGTTCAGACTTGTTCGCTTGAGATGAGCCATGAATATATCAGCTGGGATAGGTCCTAGTGGTGAACCTATACCCACTCCATCAGTTTCCCAGTATAGTTGATTATTAAACTGGAATTGAACACCCTTTGTATAGAGGAGCAGTAATTGTTTGAGTTCTGGTAGTAAATCAGTCTATTGACAGATTATGTCTATTGTTTCATCCACTGGTATATTCGTGAACAGTGAGGAAACATCCAATGATATCATAAATTTATCTGAGATATCTAATCTATCCAGTTCTTCAGAGAATCAGAATGTATCCTTCAAGTTACGATTTGTGAGCATTTTTCTGATGGGTTCCAATTTCTTTGCTAACCAATCAACCAATTCGTGACAAGGTGAATTTATCATGGACAAAATGGGTCTCAAAAAAACATTGGACATGTGGATTTTTGGAAGATCGTACATAAAGGGTAGTTGTGAACCTCCCGGTTTAAGTTCACCATAAGTTGCTCCATCAATCCATTGCTTCTTCAAAAGTTCTTTGAGGTGTTTGTTTACTTTGTGTCCAGTTGATATTGTCACATCCTTTTAGGATCTATCAACTGTTAATCTCTACAAATCCCTTAAAATCATCAGCATTCTATGCAAGTCGTCATTATTGTTCCTTATGATAACACCAGATCCTTTATCAACTCTAATTATATCAACTTCATGATTCTTGTGTAGCTTTTCAGTGTCAACTTATGCTGCTTAGTCAGAATATTTGACTGATGGTTTGGTGATGTACAAAAGTGATTAGTAATATCGACCAACTTAACTACAAACCAGCTTCTTCTATTATTTTTTTTCGCATGGGTTCCCAGTGGAACATAGGGATTCAATAGCACGCCTCCATTCCACTCTCTTCTCTGAAGTCTTTTCAACCTAGCGCCATGACTTCCCACAAGCTTTGATTTCTTCTTCACATGATCTCCTTCATGTCACCTTCACCTTGGACGCCAAACTCTTCGTCAGTTTATCTAGAAGGCTATGAATGTCCATCAATGATGAAGAAGAAGGTTATATAACTAGCATCAGTTGAACAAGCTTCGTAGAATTAGTATTAGAATACATGTACATAAATTGAAAATGCAAAAATTCCCATTTAGACATTTAGTAAAACAAACAATGTTAGCGAAGAAATATTTCTTTTCAATTAGTTCCTCATCAATCGCTCTACACTAATATAGCATTTTCAAACGTAAAATTACATACCAATCTAGTGGTGAGAGTTGTTCAGTGAAAGGTTATCAATCTCAAAGTTTCAAGAAGGTGATAATTGATCAGGTAATTAAGACAGTTAACTGAAGCAAAGATTAATTATCGTAGAAAGATTTTGTGAACAGGTTCTTACATAATTGATATTTTATATAATGATAACTAAACAACAGGTCAATACACCCACTTCTTGAGTTTCGTCCCCTTGCAATATAAACGAAATCTCGTTAAATGTTTGGTCCATCGGGCGAGACTCATCTGTTCAGATGATAGTTTTGACGAAGAGCTTCAAATTATCCACGATCTACTCAGCAGTAATGGATATCCAGAAACGTTCCTGGCTAAAAATATGAACACATCCAATATGAAAACCAGAATGCCTACAGTCTCTAAGAAACCATTGTTCCTAAGACTACAATTTCGAGGTGACATCATCAGCGAAATTGTGACAAAACGCTTAAGAAACGCCATAAGAAGATCATTTAATGCCGCCAAGTTATGTTGTGTTTTCTACAGCCGGCCGATGATGACCACACGAACTAAAGACAGACTCCCTGACTTCTCCTCTTCTATGTGCATTTACCAGTTCAACTGCTCCTGTAAAGCTAGTTACATTGGACGTACTGTTAGGCAAGTCCGTCGTCGAATCGCCGAGCATCATCCTTCATGGCTAAGTAAGGGGGAAACCAGACTGACACGAAGCTCAATACTCTCTCATCTGATTGACACCGGCCACCGAGTTAACATTCATAATGCCTTTAAAGTTATTTATCACATTCCTTCTCACCTCACCCATCCTCTATGAGTCCGTCTTTTACATACAGCAGAAGCCATAGGAATCCACCTACACAAGCCAAGTCTGTGTGTTCAGAAGAGATTCGTACAGCCTCCTTCTTTGCCTTGGCCATCTGTATAGCTCATTTATTACAACAAGACTCTTCATTTCATCCACCACACAATTCACTATAACTAATATTTTAATAGCTCCATTATTATTATTATTATTATTACAGACTTAATCATTTTTCTCTCCCCCTACTCTCTCTAATTACCGTCAACAATTTACCATTTTACGTAACAGTTCATTTTTGCTCTTTAGTTATGCAAAAATTCCCATTTAGACATTTAGTAAAACAAACAATGTGAGCGAAGAAATATTTCTTTTCAATTAGTTCTTCATCAATCGCTCTACACTAATATAGCATTTTCAAACGTAAAATTACATACCAATCTAGTGGTGAGAGTTGTTCAATGAAAGGTTATCAATCTCAAAGTTTCAAGAAGGTGATAATTGATCAGGTAATTAAGACAGTTAACTGAAGCAAAGATTAATTATCGTAGAAAGATTTTGTGAACAGGTTCATACATAATTGATATTTTATATAATGATAACTAAAGAGCAAAAATGAACTGTTACGTAAAATGGTAAATTGTTGACGGTAATTAGAGAGAGTAGGGGGAGAGAAAAATGATTAAGTCTGTAATAATAATAATAATAATAATAATAATAATGGAGCTATTGAAATACTAGTTATAGTGAATTGTGTGGTGGATGAAATGAAGAGTCTTGTTGTAATAAATGAGCTATACAGATGGCCAAGGCCCTACTGTCTCTAATTACCGTCAACAATTTACCATTTTACGTAACAGTTCATTTTTGCTCTTTAGTTATCATTATATAAAATATCAATTATGTAAGAACCTGTTCACAAAATCTTTCTACGATAATTAATCTTTGCTTCAGTTAACTGTCTTAATTACCTGATCAATTATCACCTTCTTGAAACTTTGAGATTGATAACCTTTCACTGAACAACTCTCACCACTAGATTGGTATATAATTTTACGTTTGAAAATGCTATATTAGTGTAGAGCGATTGATGAGGAACTAATTGAAAGTAAATTGAAAAGACAATCATTAAAAAAAATTTGTCCGCAGCATATTGCCATTACTAAATGCCTTACAAAAAGGGTGATAGTTTTAAGTCGACTTGTTACTCTATTGTACTATGTATAATTCCATCATCTAAGTTATTATAGGAATTTTATCCTAAGTGGTTTTCATTCTTGCCTATACTCTGTTCTTCTGTTTTATCTATCAATGTGTATTTCTACATCCTGATGTATATTTGACGATTCACATTGTACAACAGACTTTTTTCATTTTCTCTTGACTCATATTCACCGAATCAAGAAATTGGGTTAGATACAGTGTAATAGAAATGAAGCCATGGAAATCGAAGTACTGGTCGTTCCAAGAATATGTCTTGAAGACTTTTTCTTTTGACACTTATTATAATCGTGATAATAATGGCTTTATTCTAGAAGCTATTTTGAGAATACTGTACAGAATTTTCAGTAAGTCATATAACATCATTTGGACAGAGACAGTGTACATGTTACTTACCTACTTGTCCCTTGGGTTCCTAGTGGAATACAGAGATTCAGTAGCACATCTCCATTTCACTCTCTTCTCTACAGTCTTTTGGACCTGATAAAACGACTGCCCACAAGCTCTCACTTCTTCCTCACATCATCTCCTACATGTCACCCTCACCTCGGACGCTCAAATCGGCCTCTCCCGTCTGGGTTACACTCGAGTGCCTGGTCTGACGTGTGATTTCCCCAATCGGTCTTCTCAGTCCATGCCAATCCAATCCGTCTCCACTTCCTTCCAGTGGATATTCCTTGAGTGATAGGTTCTTGCTTCGTTGGTTCGTTGACAGCCAGCCAGCCAGCCAGCCAGCCAGCCAGCCAGCCAGCCAGAGTGAATTTTTTGTTGCTTATTCTTATTATTCTGACCATCTGATCTTCAGTAACGAGTCAGCGTAGGCAGTTGTTGATGAATAGTGTACATGTATACATAACAAAAAATGAAATAAACAGAAATTACATGAACAAAAGATAATAATATTCACTCAGTCTACAACTTTCTTCAAAATGTACAGTCGATTTAGGTAGACAATCACATTATCAATTAGATTCATAATACATAAATACTAACATGCTAATCATTACCCTCAGTTAGTTTACTTTCTTCATTGCACAGCAAACGAGTTAAATATGTACAGTATTGTAGAGTTTTTACATTTTGTAGTACCTGCATAGAGTCTTATATACTTGCTCAGTGGCTTTCCAGATGACTGACGCGCACAGAGCTTTGAGTGAGGGGGATGTTTATCATCTGATAAAATAACCCCTTCCAGATGTTTACATGAGTTGAGATGTTTGTCCACAACAGTTTCAACTAGATGGTTTACAGGTAGGCCACTATTTCTACTGACAATCTTAAAAGTTCTACGTAATATAACATAGTTTTTCTCTCAGCAACCTTGAAAAGAATAAAGGAGAACAATAGAGGAGAACAGGTAAGATGTAGGAGTTTATAAAACACAAGAGGATAGGCTGAGTTATACCAGATACTCTCACAGAGCAGAAAATTCTTTTGGGAGTTAGTTAGATATAGGAGGACCAGGAAAGGTGTAAAAAACCACACACCAAGATATATCACACTTGTTTCATTCTCTAATGCTTAACTGCCAGTAGAACAGGAATATATAATGAGAACTAATCAGTTTACATAGGTTATATTCGCGTCTGAAACTGAAGTTTACGATCTGATATTTTGAAGAATTAAGCACAACACCATTCACGGAGGACCGTCGTCCAATAGTAGATAAGAAATCACTCAACAATCTGTTGAAGTGGAGACTAGTCATCACCATATTTGATGAAATTCACACCGGCGGAAGATGGTAAGGCATGCAAAAAGATGGAGAAAAAAACCAGGGTAAAGTACATCCCTTTGGGGAGTACCAGCCATAGTAACTATTGAGGAGGACTGTTGCCCTCTATGAACAGTATGTTGTTTCCTTTCAAAGAAGTAGGAATCCAGTTATCTGGTTATCTAGGACTCAGTATGTGTCCCAGTTAGCTTGTCCAGCAAAACAGGTCCTGAGACAGAATCAAGTGCCTAATATATTTGGTATTTCTATCAAGATTACAAGTAATAATATGATATAAGATAGTGGTGGCATCCAGAATGCTTCTTCTGCTTTTATATGCAAATCGATTGGGGTCTCCGAAAGCCTTCATTGAGGGTTCAGGCACAGGTATTTTTAGCTTTTCTATTGTTTTCAACAACGAAGTAACTGCTATTAGACGGAATTTCTGACATACGCCTGGAGTCCCTGACTTAGGTGCGGGGACTACCTTAATATCTTTCCAGGTAGCTGGTATGGTTTTTTCTAAAAAGGATCTATTGAACAAGTTAGCTAATAGATCGCATAAAATATCAGCACACTTCGTGAAAAGGAAGTTTGACATATCATCCGAACCTAAACTGTGTGAAGCATTCAGGGACTTGAGACATTTGAAAACATTTTTCTCAGCGAATCCCGGACAACATTCTTCATTGAAAATGTGTAGACAAAGCGAGATTTGACAAATAGGTTGACGTATAAGCTATTTGTTCAAAGTATAGACGTCAGCACATGTTTATCTACTCAGGTGTTTACTACCAGTGACGTGTTTTAAAAGTTTCCACATACTGGAAGAGCCTTTGCATGACAAAAATTTTGGTAGTATAACAGACTCACATGTTTAGTTTCCAGTCATCATATATCCTTTCATTAAGGATAGCATATGCAAATGATATTTTGTTCTCAGAGTTTTCAATGAAGAGTAAGCTAGATAGAGGAAGTTCTTCTGCAGTCGAATAATCTTACCAGATAATGTACTTTTGAAATGTGACTTTACATATATAAAAAAGTAGGATGATCAGTTTGTCAATGGCATAAAAATTGCACAATCTACATTAACAGTTCTTACAGCTGATTACTTCGTCAACTGCCCAACTATAGTGTCAACAGAGTTTCTATTGAAAAGAACCTGTGAGCCAGTATCACATGGTGTGATCTTTGGACACAAAAGTGTCATTGACTAATCAACCTGAATAGTTCGAAACTCCTCAAACTGATCTGTAGTTATTGTTTTCCAGATTTGAAAACTAGGAGACTATTTCACTGGTTTGTAGTCAGGTTCATTAGCTGCGTATTTGAACGAATTCAACTCACATAATCGATTTTTTTTTCTAGGTCACCTGAACTTTGCTAGTTGACTTCCATAATCAGTTTATCAACATCAGGTAGCCAGACTTAACGGGTTTGAACAATTCGAGTAAATCGGTGATGACCTTGACTCCAAATAAGCCAACTGACTGGTGAAATTTACAGATTAGAGTCAATGGTTTTCTGACTACTCAAATCATTCAGTAGTATGTTTTGACTGTGTGTTGTTTAACAAAATCGTTTTGCATACAAACTCTTCAATCAAAATCTAATTTTTATTCGTTTATTGATAGCATCCTTTTCATTGTATTCAAAGTGACTATATACAGGCCAAGATGACTGCATAAGTACCTTGTTCGAATATTGTTACCAGTAAGTGAAAACTTGTCATGATATTCTTAAAGCATACAAGAAACTGCATAACAAATAAAACTTTTAAAATCACAGTAACGATCAATTCGCAAGTAAATCTGTGTTCTCTATAGGTTTTTATGTCGCTTTTTGTTGATATATCCCAGCTTTCATCTTCACATCTCTTAGAAGTAAATATGTTAAGACACTTTGAATTTATGTTAAGTATGACATCCAATTTTAGCGAAGCTAAAACTTTTTTCAAGCTCATATCCATTGTGGACTGATATCAGTTGAAGGAACATTTCAAACCTGGAAGCACTGAACAGCAGTTTTGTCCTAGTATGGGATGCTTCAGCAGTGCGCACCCATGACCCGTCAGGGATCGGACCCGCAGCCTTCAAGTTCCACGTCCAGCACTCTACCAGTCAGCCATTGGATCGGAATTCAATAATCCATATTTCTCCACCACCAAGTCTTCCTCAACGGTTACAACTTCTCATTGGAACTTCAGGAATCACCTCCTGAAGCTAATCACCGAAAAGCATTAGATCAACTGAATTTTTTTGAAGATTTAGTGATTTTTCGATCATGTGCACGCTGTTGAGGAGTTTCGTACTAGGACGAAACGGTTATCCAGTGCTCCCAAGTGTCCAATGTTCCTCCAACTACTGACAGTCGATGATGAATACGAACTTGAAAAATCGTTAAATCCCCACAAAATCCTAAATTCAGAAGATAAAACTACCTACCATCTACAATTGAATGAAAAAATAATTTTTTTTAGTAGAATGGAATTATTCTTATAATTATGATCATTCAATTGAATACTGTTTATAACTTACTAAATATATTCCATCGGTAATGTATCAATTATACTGAATCTTATCTCTCTTTAATTTTTATATATCTCTAGGAACAAGGATATTTGAAGATGAAATTTCATTTGGATGGTTCAATGATTGTTATTGATGGTCCAAAAGTATATTTATATGATGGATATTATCATAGAATTCGTGGAATGCGATCAAGTAATCAAGTTCTCCTTGAAGTGGATCAATATCATACCACTTATAGATTGTACAGTATGTATAAAATTATTTTTTATTTTATGTATCAATATGTTAGATGTGTATATAATAGTCGGATTCAAAGATCAGGAAACACTTTTGTATCAATTTCTGAAATGACTAGAAAGGTAATTATGACAAGTTCTACTTCAATTAAAGAAAAATGAAATATATATCTAAGAGAACAAGCCATGAAAGTTAAGAAATATTTCTGTTCAGTTAGTTCCTCATCAGTGGCTCTACACTAATATATGTAGCATTTTCGAAGCGTAGAACTACATATGAATCTAATGATGAGAGTTGTTTAATGACAGGTTAACAATCTCAAAACATCAGCAGGGTGATCAGCGAACAGATAATTAAAACAACGACATATATAAGCAAAGAAGAAGCATTTCTTTTTCAATGACTTCATTATCAAGTTGTACAGTTGTATTCATCAGCTGAAAAAGGACAGACTTAAGTCGCAGAGAGACCGAAAAATAATCTCCATTCAAAATTACGAACAAAATAGGCTGGCTAACTGGCTTAGGCAAAAACCAATCAGGCGCGGATCAAATTGCAACACCACGCTACACATCATCATACAACATAGCATACAATACCAGTCAAATCAACTCTACCTCAAATTCATCCACTACGAAAAAGTCTTCGACAACATAAACCAAGAAGAAATTTGGTAACTGCTGCTTAAACACTACGGTTTTAGTGTCACAAACCATAATCAAACTCATTCAAAAGCCACACACGAAGTGATTCACAATGGAAAGCTCACTGATGACTTTGAAGTGAAGTGAAGATAAGAACAAGACAAAATTGCAGCCTACTATCATCAATAATCCTCCTAATTGTGTTGTGGTCAGTTGAACTAGATCATACAAAACAAACCCGTTAGAAGAAGGGCATACGCTGGCTGGCTGACTGACTGGCTGGCTAGACCGATGAAAAGACTCCATTACAAAATTTGAATCTCGCCACCCATAATGACTCATGTCAAATGCATTCTCGCAAAAACTCGAAGATCTACAGGTAAAACCAACAAATTAGCAAAAGAGGAGAGGAGAGGGGAGGCAAGGCGAGATGAGATGAGACGAGACGAGGCGGTGAAAGAAGACGATACTTCCTTCACGTGAACGTAGAGAAGACAGAGGTGATGAAGATACCCAACCAACAACAACAGCGAGCACCAGTCACCATCGATGACAGAAATGTAAAGCAAGTTGTCTCTTTCAACCACCTACCCAGATAGGCTGCATCGTCTCAACTACAGGCAGCACAGTCATACATGAGATTGTGAAAGTCAGGATCCGAAAAGCAGCAGATTAGTTCCACATTGATCTGAAATAATCAGTATGGAGATCTACTTCACTGCACTGCACTCCACTCCACTTCACTCCACCGCACTCAGCAAAATGCGTGAACAATATCTGGATTTTGAACACCAATGTCAGTCAAGTAAGTCAGTGCTTCCATGTGATGCTTGAGAGACTTGGCCACGCGTCACCAAAAGTATTTCCAACAAACTGCACACACATGCATCACATCAGCAGCTGCTGCTGCCGCCCACACCCACGCCCACGCTCACTCGATACTGACAGAGAAGATGGAGATCAGATGGACAGAATAATAACAATAATAATAATCAATGAGGAAGTCTGGCTGGCTGGCTGGCTGGCTGGCTGGCTGGCTGGCTGGCTGGCTGGCTGGCTGGCTGGCTGGCTGGCTGGCTGGCTGGCTGGCTGGCTGGCTGGCTGGCTGGCTGGCTGGCTGGCTGATAACGAACCAATCGACCAACAACCCAACAACAACAACCAACAAATATGCAGAAGCAATTGGAGATGGATTGGATTAGATTGGACTGGATATACATTGAGAATACGGTTCGGGGACACCACGCATCAGGCGAGGCCAGTTCGTTGAGTGGAATGTGAATGGGAAAGGATGAGTTGTGAGTTGGAGGTTGACATGGAGGAGATTGTGTGATGAAGAACTGAGAGGTTGTGGGTAATGGTGGAGCCAGGTAAATAAAGAAGACTGGAGATAAGAGAGTGAAATGGTGGCGTGCTACTGAACCCCTATATTCGTGGAGGAACTCAAAGGATAGATAATAATAATCTAATCACCTACCAGTCTAGGCTAATTCACTTGACCAGTTATTTGAGTAACACACTCTGATGTCCTATATCAATGAGTCAATAAATTTCATACTACTCATAAATTCTTGTATATATTCACCATAGACGGAGGGTCATTTCCAGTTGACCAGGTCAATATTTCGTGCTTTGACGTGTAACTGAATATACATATATATTTGTGGGAAAATTCAGAAAGCTATAGACGCTTATCTAATGTGATTTGGTAACCGTAACTTATCTAGCACGTTGAATGAAGCCATTTCTGGACGTGTCTCAATGGTTTAATTTATTGTCTTAAACAAATAATCCTAGAAGAATCTTGAAATGATGGAAAAGATTTGTAGCTCACGATCAGGATGATGGTACCATTTATATTCATAAAACAGGTCATCTTATTACGTCGATGGTTGACTTTAGAAACAAGTCAACGTTTGAGTTATCTAAATATTTATTCAGATTTTATTTTCGATTACAAATTGCTCAGAGTTTAGATCAGTCAATTTCTGGAGGTGGAACCGAGATTAGATCATATGCAATTAGATAGAGGTGAAAAAGATGACGAACCTATGTATGAATACAACAATTGATATTGCAAATAAGGTAGTCAGAAATGAACAAAGCACTAACCATGTACTCAATAGTAGAACTAGGACTTCAGCTAAAGAAATCATACTAAGAATCTAATTGTTTACTGAAAATCAACACATTCAAACAGATACTTGGATTTTACAGCATCTCACCGTAAATATATCACAGTAGTCTGGATAAAATATCCAAGTAATCAGGTTAGGTGTTTGATTAGTAAGTTAGAAAGTCTAAATAAGGAATTGAAACAAAATTATTATTATTTTCCCCTTGGGTTCCTAGTGGAACACAGGGCTTCAGAAGCACGCCTTCATTCCACTCTGTTCTCTACAGTCTTTTGAACCTGACGACACGATTACCCATAAGCTTTAATTTCTTCCTCACATGATCTCCTCCATGTCATCCTCACCTCGAACGCCCAACTCGTCGTTTCCCCCTTTCGATTCCACTCGAGGGCCTGGTGTGGTGCGTGATGTCCCCAATCGGCCTTCTCAGTGTACCTCCAATCCATCTCCACTTTCCTCTGTATGTTTGTTGCATGATAGGTTCTTGGTTGGTTCGATACCAGCCAGCCAGAGTTCCTTGTTGCTTATTCTTTCTGGCCATCTAATCTTCAGTATCGAGCTGGCGTAGTTGGCAGCTGTTGATGAATGTGTGTAGTTTGTTGGAAATGCTTTTCGCGACACACCAAGTTTCTGAACTATATACCAGCATCGACTGGACAGTGGTGTTGAAAATCCTTATGTTGTTCACGCTTTATGCTGAGTGCAGTGCAGTAGATCTCTACACTGATTTCAGATTAATGAAAGAAGGCCTGTCTTGCTTTTCCGATCTTGGCTGCTTTGACGTCCTCGTCTGTGCCTGTATCGCCGCCTGTAGCTGAAACAATGCTGCCAATGTGGGTAGGTGAAAGAAACTACTTCCTTTAGGTTCCTCCCGTTAATGGTGATTGGTTCCTCTTGTTGTTGATGCTGTTGTTGGTTGGGTATCTTCATCCTCTCCGTCTTCTCCACATTCACTTGAAGTCCCATTTTCTCTCCCTCTGAAAGACACTAAAGAGACATTATTACCCTACGGAGTTTACTGAAATAATTATCAGCACTGATAAGAGGAGTGATCATACTTACGTTACTTGCAACGTGTCTACTAGGGAATTCATATCCTCTGCAGTATTGTCATACATTGAGGCGCATCGGAAATCTTACTTATCATTCTTAACAATGCTGACATTAGAGTAGCACATACACTCACAAAATCACTCATAGATGATCTGCATACGCTAGTGGATCGAGTAGATCCAATTGGGCGAAATAACCTTTTATCTGTCAAATGTCGTGTAATGATTGTGAAGTCAAGTATACAAGTCATTGTATTTGATAAAGATCAAGCAGAATGGAGGAGCAAGAAGGTTTATCGAAACATGGATAAGTGATTTAGAGGAGAACTCATCCATTGTTCTGCATGCCCTGATGCATGATCACTCTGTAGGGTGGGATTCAGTGATAATTCTGAAGTGCAGTATAGCTTGATGGAGGAAGAGATTGAAGACAGAATGTTTTTTCATTGAATCAACACGTAACTCATGTAATAAGAATGTTTCATCACATATTGAAGATAAATAGAAACGTTTCCGACCATTAAAATGAAAGAATAAAGAACTGTTGGACCATATAAAGGAAGTTTGAAAGTTATATGATTACTGTGATATAATTATGAGCAGTAAATTCTGCTCAAAGCGCTATCGAGTAAGTAATACTGCATCACTTAATGTGTGCTATATCAAATAAACGACCTAATATTGAGTTACACTATACCATAACCCCAAAGTTGTGCTCTTACATTAAATTACTGAATATTCATTTCAAAGCAAACCGTAAATTTTAACATGAAGTCACAGACTATTCTGAGATCTGAAGCTATAATTAATTGCCAAACAGAACATGAAAATATCACAGTTCAAGGTGACCAATCGAGGCACTGAAAGACTGGTCTTTAATAAAAGAACTCTCTGAAATGAAATAAAATTTGTTTAGTTCAGTATGAAAATGATGACAGGTTGGCGTTTTCTAAGGTTCGACAATTCGTCGTGGCCGTATCATCACCAGCCGTCGTGAAATCCATATGAGGAATATGGTTTCATAACATCATGAACAACATGACATGTAACTGATACTATTATTGTTGTTTATTCCTTAGGCCCCTAGTCCAACATAGGGATTAAGTAGCACGTCACCATTTCACTCTCTTATCTCCGGTCTTCTTTATTTACCTGGCTCCACCACTACACACAACCTCTCAGTTCTTCATCACACAATCTCCTCCATGTCAACCTCCAACGCACAACTCATCCTTTCCCATGGTCATTCCACTCAATCAACTGGCCTCGCCACGCCACGCCACGCCACGCCACGCCACGCCACGCCACGCCACGCCACGCCACGCCACGCCACGCCACGCCACGCCACGCCACGCATGGCCTCGCCTGATGCGTGATGTCCCCAAACCCCATTCTCAATGTATATCCAGTCCAATCTAATCCAATCCATCTCCAATTGCTTCTGCATATTTTTTGGTTGTTGTTATTGGGTTGTTGGTCGATTGGTTCGTTATCAGCCAGCCTGCCAGCCTGCCTGCCAGCCAGTCACACTTCCTCATTGATTATTATTATTATTATTCTGTCCATCTTGGAAGCTGATAGAGGAGAGGAGGATGGTGAAGCAGAAGATAAACCAGTGCAAGGATGCTCAACGACAAGAGGAACTGAGCACAATGTATAAAACACTGGATAAAGAAGTGAAGAAGAGTGCACGCAAAGACAAGAGACACTTCTACGACACACTGGCAAGTGAAGCAGAACAGGCTGCAGGTAGGAGAGAGAGACCTGACGACATTGTATCAAATAACCAGGTTGCTATCAGGGAAGAGACCAACACAGATGAAACCAATAAAAGATGAAGAAGGAAACTTAATTACAAAAGAAGAGAAACAGAGGAAACGATGGGCCGACCACTTCAAGAAGCTCTTGAATCGACCACCACCTGCACTTCGTCCAGAAATACCACCTGCAGCCGCTGAATTACAAGTGAACATTAATCCCCCAACGAAAATGGAAGTCCTGAACGCCATAAAGCTACTGAAATGCGGGAAAGCAGCAGGACCAGATGGAATACCGCCAGAAGCACTGAGAACAGATGCAGAGACAACAGCGGACATGCTCACACCACTATTGCAGAAGGTGTGGAGGGAAGAGAAGGTACCTGACGATTGGAAGAAGGGTTACCTTGTCAAACTGCCGAAGAAGGGAGACCTCAGTGCTTGCAAGAACTGGCGCGGAATCACTCTCCTATCCACCCCAAGTAAAATATTAAGCCGCATCATCCTGGAGAGGCTTAAAGACGCACTGGATTCAAAACTGCGACCGGAACAGGCAGGCTTCAGGAAGTACAAATCATGTGCTGACCAAATTGCAACGCTTCGTATCATCATAGAACAGAGCGTAGAATGGCAATCAGCTCTATACCTCAACTTCATCGACTTTGAGAAGGCCTTTGACAGCGTCGACCGAGAAGTAATTTGGAAACTGCTTCAATACTACGGAGTACCGCAAACCTTTATCCGCCTCATTCAACAACTATATGAAGATGCCACATGCCAAGTAATCCACAATGGGAAGCTCAGTGATGCCTTTGAAGTGAAGACAGGAGTGAAACAAGGTTGCCTACTATCCCCCATGATATTCCTTATTGTGGTGGACTGGATCATGCAGCAAACAGTAGGCAGCGAGAAGAGGGGATACGCAGGCTGGACGACGGAAAAGAACCTAGAAGACTTGGATTTCGCCGATGACTTATGCCTAATGTCACATAAACTTGAAGATCTGCAGGCAAAAACTAACAAGTTGGCAGAAGAGATGAGGCAGCTAAGACGGGACTTCAGGTGAATATAGAGAAGACAGAAGTGATGAAGATACCGCACCACCACCATCAACAACAACAACAAACTCCAATCACCGTCAACGGGAGAAACTTGAAGGAAGTAACCTCCTTCACTTATCTAGGAAGCACTGTTTCAACTACAGGCGGGACGGACGAGGACGTCAAAGTCAGAATCGGAAAAGCAAGACAGGCGTTCATTAGCCTGAAACCAGTGTGGAGATCTTCTGCACTCAGCATGTGGAACAAGATACGGATTTTCAACACCAACGTCAAGTCAGTGCTCTTGTATGGCTCAGAGACTTGGCGCGTCACGAAAGGCATTTCCAATAAACTACAGACATTCATCAACAACTGCTTACGCTCGCTGCTGAAGATCAGATGGCCAGAAAAAATAAGCAACAAGGAACTCTGGGAACGAACCAACCAAGAACCTATCACGCAACAAATATGCAGGAAGAAGTGGAGATGGATTGGCCATGCACTGAGAAGGCCGACTGAGGACATCACGCGTCAGGCCAGTTGCTCGAGTGGAATCCCCATGGGAAGCGACGAGTTGGACGTCCGAGGGTGACATGGAGGAGGTCATGCGAGGAGGAAATGAGAGGTTGTGGGCTGTCGTGGAACCAGGTTCAAAAGATCTCAGAGAACAGAGGTCACTGGAGGCGTGCTACTGAAGCCCTATGTTCCACTAGGAACCCAAGGGACTAATAATAATAAAAATTCTGTCCATCTGATCTCCATCTTCTCTGTCAGTATCGAGTGAGCGTGGGTGTGGGTGTGGGCGGCAGCAGCAGCTGCTGATGTGATGCATGTGTGTGTAGTTTGTTGGAAATACTTTTGGTGACGCGCGGCCAAGTCTCTCAAGCATCACATGGAAGCACTGACTTACTTGACTGATATTGGTGTTCAAATCTAGATGTTGTTCACGCATTTTGCTGAGTGCGGTGGAGTGAAGTGGAGTGGAGTGCAGTGCAGTGAAGTAGATCTCCATACTGATTATTTCAGATCAATGTGGAACTAATCTGCTGCTTTTCGGATCCTGACTTTCACAATCTCATGTATGTCTGTGCTGCCTGTAGTTGAGACGATGCAGCCTATCTGGGTAGGTGGTTGAAAGAGACAACTTGCTTTACATTTCTGTCATCGATGGTGACTGGTGCTCGCTGTTGTTGTTGGTTGGGTATCTTCATCACCTCTGTCTTCTCTACGTTCACGTGAAGGAAGTATCGTCTTCTTTCACCGCCTCGTCTCGTCTCATCTCATCTCGCCTTGCCTCCCCTCTCCTCTCCTCTTTTGCTAATTTGTTGGTTTTACCTGTAGATCTTCGAGTTTTTGCGAGAATGCATTTGACATGAGTCATTATGGGTGGCGAGATTCAAATTTTGTAATGGAGTCTTTTCATCGGTCTAGCCAGCCAGTCAGTCAGCCAGCCAGCGTATGCCCTTCTTCTAACGGGTTTGTTTTGTATGATCTAGTTCAACTGACCACAACACAATTAGGAGGATTATTGATGATAGTAGGCTGCAATTTTGTCTTGTTCTTATCTTCACTTCACTTCAAAGTCATCAGTGAGCTTTCCATTGTGAATCACTTCGTGTGTGGCTTTTGAATGAGTTTGATTATGGTTTGTGACACTAAAACCGTAGTGTTTAAGCAGCAGTTACCAAATTTCTTCTTGGTTTATGTTGTCGAAGTCTTTTCATAGTGGATGAATTTGAGGTAGAGTTGATTTGACTGGTATTGTATGCTGTGTTGTATGATGATGCGTAGCGTGGTGTTGCAATTTGATGCACACATGATTTTTATATCCTGAATCCAACCTGGTCTGCTCGTAGCCGATACTACTTTCACACTAATCAGTAGTGTTCTGATCTTAATGTAAACTTTTTATTTGATTTTACATGTATTGTAAATAAACATAATATCTCGAAGGCAGGGAAATTTTATCTGATAACTATACCTAATCAATTTCTCATAAGCTTTGAATTCATTGAGTTTTTACCATCTTGACTTAATTTGTATTTCATTTATATTCTAGATGAATTCAATTCACTATTGAACATTCAAGATATTTGGTTGGGACATTCCCCACTAGCCAATCGATCAGACTTTATCAGAGGCTACTTAATAGGTTTGTTATGTAGAATATATAATGAATACATTTTATTGGTTGGTATTTGATCTTACTATGAATCCCCTCTAGGCTTTTTAAGCGGAACTTTTCGATGACTGACTGACTAACACTGATAAAATCAAAGTAGAACCTCACACACACACACACACACACACACAAGTGGATCCCCTTCAGTTGACACATTTCACAGAAGTACACAAAGAACAGATGGATAGAAAAAAGGATATGAAAGAAGATGAAGTTGTGGGAAAGAATAAATAATCTGAAGATAACGGATAATGCAAATATTCAACCTTTAGAAGATGTTAAGGGGTGAATACATCTACGACACTGTCATCGATTTTCAGCGATGTCACAAAGAGTTCTAGAACACTAATTCCTAGTCTTAGTCTAGCCGTCCTAAACCCTCCTCAACCTAATCTGACTTTTCCATGATATGGCATATCGAGGTAGTTGGCAGCTTGCCATGTTCAGCATATGTCCATGTTACCTCAGTCATTTAAAGTCCATAACTTTATCAATCAACTTGGGTATTTTGCATAATATCCTTCACCTGAATTCAGCATTGCTCATATGAGGGTTCCACCAAACACTAGGAATTCTACGAAGATATGTATGGTCGAAACCTTTTAACTGCCTAATATCTTCTTCTTCTTCAACAGGATAGAATGAAGTTTACTGTTTTGATATGATGGAGAATATTTGTAGCTCAGGAGGATAATTTCGATAGTTTTGTGTTCTCTCAACTTGATAGTTTAATTTTCAAGGTTTTGTTATCATTCTAAACAACATCATCAGCACAAACTTCTTTCGAAAGTTTTTAAGGAACAAAACGTTTTTGCACATGGAGAGAATAATTATATTTCTACAAGCCAATAGAATTAAAAGAACGCTTGCAAGTGAACCTTTTTTCCTTCACTGACTATCCCATCAATATTTTAATATGGTGAGTAATACCAAAGGTGTAATCTTCAGTCTGAAAAAGAAATGAATTGTAAGTTGGTTGGAAGCAATCGGCAGGAAGCCCTGCACCTACGTTTCGTGCTTCTCGGCGTTCGTCAGCAAGGCGCCTCTGCAACGTCGACAGAACTGATCTTCCGCCTGAGATTCTAATCCGCATCACCCAGTGTTGTAGTCAGCGACTTTACCACTGAGCTATTCGGGCCGCTATTGATCTCCTGCAGAACTGGTTTACATGTATTCATTGGTCACGGGAGTGTAAGCAATGTAAGCCAGTCCTACAGGAGATCAGTCGCGGCCTGAATAGCTCAGTGGTAAAGTCAATGACTACAACACTGGGTGACGCTGGTTCGAATCTCAGGTGGGACATCAATTCCATAGAGTTTGCAGATACGCCTTGCTGACGAGTGCCAAAAAGCACGGAATTTAGGTCCAGGGCTTCCTGCCGATTGCCTCCAACCATCTAACATCTACTAATGTATGCCACGACGCTGAGCTTCCTAGCTTGGTTGCCACATTGCAAGTATTGTCGACAGAATTCGATCTGCACTCAGGACTAGACAACATGAAATTGGTTGCACTCCCGTGACCAACAAAATACAAAGAAATGAATCGCTAGTATCCAAAAAAATTTTTCAAACATATGTTTATGAACTTCATAATAGTCTTGTATGATACTTGTAGTCTCCCTTTGATATACTGGATAGAAATACTCGACCTCTGTTGTCAGATGGGCTCCTATGCGGACGCCTCCATACTTCTGAATTACTCATTATGTTGTAATCTGCTTGAGAACTAGCAGTGGAATCAGTGATAGGCGTTTCGTTCCATTTGAGAGTCATCAGTTGGATGTATCTGCATCCGAATGAGTGATGGTGTTCCCTCTGAGACTTGAACCTCAGTATCTATCACTTCAGACCCCAACACTTTGTCTACTAAGCTACTGGGAGACGACAGCCACCTCTTGTGCGGCAGGTATCATGTGTTGTGTGATACTTGACCCACTAAGTTTGAATGAGTCAGTGATGGAACAAATAATAGTCCATAGACTGATGTTTATCTTTCTGACATCTTGTTTCGGATATGTGATTTTGTAATTCCAGTATTTGACTCTGAATTCCAAAAACATAGTCAAGTAAACACTTCAGTAGCACGACTCCAGATCCATTCAACAGATCCTGCATCATTTAACCTCACTTCATTTAACGTTTATATGCCTGAAAGATGAGACAGAGATTAACTTGGAGTTCAATTTCACCATACAAGTAAGCTGCTCCCAATAATAACATTCGATTCGTATATACAATCACCTAAAGAAAAGGATTATCTGGAGCTGCCAGTCAATAGGTAAAGTACACGATTTGGCGGTAAAATACTTTTGGTTTAAAGGGAATCGTTAGTGCCTAAAAATCGGGATTACTGATATCCTACAAATATGGCATATATATATATATATATATATATATATATATATATATATATATATATATGGTGTTCCCCTTCTAAATAGCTAAAGAATATTGATTTTGATATTATTGGTGGATAATGCCTGGCAATGGAGTCTAGGAAGTATGTTTCGTCCTATTTGGGACTCGTCAGGAACATAATCCACTGGCAGGCAGGTGCATCCAGCTGACGAGACAAAAATGAGAGGGAACACACGTGCTGGATTCTACTACTAACCACTACCCATCAATAATATGAAATTTAAAAAATACTGGCAATATCGAGTCATCCACACAGGAGCTCATACACCAGTGGTGACCTCTCGAAGCTGTACAAATTATTTCATCAAAGAATATCAAATTGGCTTAATATTACATGTCACTATGTTGTATATGCACATGTAAACTAGTATCATGTGGGGATACATATGAAATCCTCAAACAGCGTTTTGTATGACTGTAGAACTTCAGTTATGATGTTTAACGTCTATTGGTACATCACTATCTCTAGTAAGTATCAAAGACACGATATGCACAGTAGTCAGTAAGAGTACAAGTTTATCCGGATAGTGGAAGAAAAACAAAGTATGGGTATATTCTAATTTCTTGTTCCTTCTTAAGAATTTACATATTCTAGTGAAGGATTCAACCATGCAACAGACAACTGTGAGGAGCTGTGAGAAAATGGGCATACGCTGGCTGGCTGACTGACTGGCTGGCTAGACCGATGAAAAGACTCCATTACAAAATTTGAATTTCGCCACCCATAATGACTCATGTCAAATGCATTCTCGCAAAAACTCGAAGATCTACAGGTAAAACCAACAAATTAGCAAAAGAGGAGAGGAGAGGGGAGGCAAGGCGAGATGAGATGAGACGAGACGAGGCGGTGAAAGAAGACGATACTTCCTTCACGTGAACGTAGAGAAGACAGAGGTGATGAAGATACCCAACCAACAACAACAGCGAGCACCAGTCACCATCGATGACAGAAATGTAAAGCAAGTTGTCTCTTTCAACCACCTACCCAGATAGGCTGCATCGTCTCAACTACAGGCAGCACAGACATACATGAGATTGTGAAAGTTAGGATCCGAAAAGCAGCAGATTTGTCCCACATTGATCTGAAATAATCAGTGTGTAGATCTAATTCACTTCACTGCATTGCACTGCACTGCACTCCACCCCACTCCACCGCACTCAGCAAAATGCGTGAACAACATCTAGATTTTGAACACCAATATCAGTCAAGTAAATCAGTGCTTCCATGTGATGCTTGAGAGACTTGGCCGCGCGTCACCAAAAGTATTTCCAACAAACTACACACACATGCATCACATCAGCAGCTGCTGCTGCCGCCCACACCCACACCCACGCTCACTCGATACTGACAGAGAAGATGGAGATCAGATGGACAGAATAATAATAATAATAATCAATGAGGAAGTGTGACTGGCTGGCAGGCAGGCTGGCAGGCTGGCTGATAACGAACCAATCGACCAACAACCCAATAACAACAACCAAAAAATATGCAGAAGCAATTGGAGATGGATTGGATTAGATTGGACTGGATATACATTGAGAATGGGGTTTGGGGACATCACGCATCAGGCGAGGCCATGCGTGGCGTGGCGTGGCGTGGCGTGGCGAGGCCAGTTGATTGAGTGGAATGACAATGGGAAAGGATGAGTTGTGCGTTGGAGGTTGACATGGAGGAGATTGTGTGATGAAGAACTGAGAGGTTGTGTGTAGTGGTGGAGCCAGGTAAATAAAGAAGACTGGAGATAAGAGAGTGAAATGGTGACGTGCTACTTAATCCCTATGTTCGTCTAGGAGCTCAGTGGACAAATATTAACGAATAGTTAAGGCATACGTCACCAATGAATAAACATTGTATCTATCTAGTGCCTAGCCTGATTAAGGTTTATCAGTGAATGTTTGCAGTATGAAAGTGAAGTAAATTAACGTGATACTGCATTGCACCGTATTTGATCCTAGATGATTGAAATAAATCATCGAGAAGCATTGTATGTACTTTTCTTTCTTTCTAGCAGCCATCAGTAAGCCGTGTCGCACTTATTTCCGTGTTTGAAGTTACTCACTTATTCAGAAACTTTGACTTATAATATTGATAAATTATGATAATTTTAAGTTAGTACTGATATTAGTTGGAGAGCCATTGAAAACTTATCTCCAGCAGTGCACATTCATGAACTACCCAGGAATTGAATGCATGACCTCCTGGTTTCACAGCTAGCGCGCTACTATTGACCTACCAGGTTAAGATACAACGCGTAGTTTCGGTTCTTACTTCTGACTCGATTCGCACCACTGAACTTTGAGAAATCTCATCTCGAAGCGTGTGATTAGTGAGTACTGAACAGTAGTTCAATTTAGGAGCTTGGATGCTCATCACTATGGAGTTAGACCCATGGAATTTCTTTCAATATAATTATTATTAATAGATGTTATCTTTTTTTTTCCAGGAGTTTATTACAATGGACTGAAACTGACAGACCTTGCTGCAGGTTTAAAGTATCTTACCTTTGTCAAAGTCACACGATATTCACATGTAGATCATATTAATAAACTACAATTGAAACTAGGACCAAATAGTCCTTTTTATACGTAAGTTTTTCTTATTCCCTAGATATTTCATCACATTTTTATTTCAATCTAAATAATAGTATTAGTAATATAAGAATATCTACTATTCTAATGACATATTCATGAAATTCATGAAAACGTTGTTTCAAGATAGCGATTTTCAAATAAGTTCGCTAACGCACATCAAAGCTACATTCTGTATATTATTATTATTATTATTATTATTATTATTATTTGTCCCTTGGGTTCCTAGTGGAACATACGGATTCACTAGCACGTCTCCAGTACACTCTCTTCTCTGCAGTCTTTTCAACCTCACCCCATGACAGCCCAGAAGCTCTCATTTCTCCGTCACATCATCTCCTACATGTCACCCTCAACTCGGACGCTCAAATCGTCCTCTCCCGTCTGGGTTACACTCGAGTGCCTGGTCTATTCTGGCCTGGCCTGGCCTGGCCTGACACGTGATGTCCCCAATCAGCCTTCTCAGTCCATACCCACTCCAATCCAATCCAATCCATCTCCACTTCCTTCCAGTGTATATTTGTTGAGTGATAGCTTCTTGCTTCGTTGGTTCGTTGACAGCCAGCCAGAGTGACTTCCTTGTTGCTTATTCTTATTATTCTGACCATCTGATCTTCAGTAACGAGCCATCAGAGATGGCATCTGTTTATGAATATCCGTAGTTTGTTGGAAATCCTTTCGTAGCGCGCCAAGTCTCTCAACCATCACATAGAAGCACTGACTTACTTGACTGACATCAGTGTTGAAAATCCGGATGTTGTTCACGCTTTGTGTTGAGTGCAGAAGATCTCCACACTGGTTTCAGGTTAGTGAAAGCAGGCCTGTCTTGCTGTCTTTCCCATCCCGGCTGGCTTTGACATCCTCGTCTGTGCCAGTGCTGTCTGTAGTTGGAACGATGCTGCCTAGATAGGTGAAAGAGACTACTTCCTTTAGGTTTCTTCCGTTGATGGTGATTGGAGTTTGTTGTTGTTGGTGGTGTTGTTGGTTGGGTATCTTCATCAGCTCTGTCTTCTCTTTATTCAATTGAAGTCTCGTCTTCGCTGCCCTGCCTCTTCTGTCAACTTGTTTATTTTTGCCTCTACATGTTCGAGTTTGTGCGACATTAAGCATAAATCATCACTAGCGAAATCTAAATCTTCTAAGTTGTTTTCTCCTGTTTAGCCAGCGTATCCCCCTCTTCTCGTTCCTCACTGTTTGTTGCATCATTCAGTCCATCACAATCAGGAAGACGATGGTTGGTAGCGGGTAGAAATTTTGTCTTACTCCTGCCTTCACTTCATAGGCATCACTGAGCTTTCCATTGTGAATCACTTCGCATGTGACGTCTTCATATAGTTGTTGAATGAGATTGATAAAGGTTTGTGGCACTGAGACCGTAGTGTTGAAGCAGCTGCCATATTACTTATCGGTCGACGGTGTCGCAGGTCTTTTCAAAGTGGATGAAGTTGAAGTAGAGTTGAGTTAACTGGCATTGTATACTCTGTTCTATGATGTGCAGCGTGGTGTTGCAATTTCATATGCACATGATTTGTACTTCCTGAATCCAATTCTACATTCTGTATTCTTTACTATATTGTGCTAAATGACATTCAGTTAAGCATTGGTTTTTATAGCTGGTATAAAAAAGTCGGGTAAGAGTTAAACAACATCTTATCATCATCAATACATCCACTTACAAGTTTTTATGTAGCTGAAAATAAGAATATTGCAGTCTTCTTCTTGGATCTTGATCCTGATCTATCGATTAGTTCATTATGTCAACTTGAGGGATCTTTATTCACCATTTCCATAAGTTTTCATAAAACCTAATTGATAAAAGAGACAGTCTGCTGTTTATCACTGGATTGATGTAAACGTATGTTTACAATCTGAAAGAGAAGTTTGATAAATCAGACTACTTCAGTCAATAGTAGCCATAAGAATGTAACATATGGAAGTGAGTCAACCAACGAATCAAAACCACTTATTCAGAGTAAGCTACCTAATCGTTGACACAGAAATCCTGATAACTAACTTCATGTAACACAAACAAGACCGACATCTGCTGGATAGTACAACATATCAAATTCTTTTCAAAGTTTGATCATAAAAAACTCAGTCTGTCATAGTGAGAACTTACTTTGAGAAAGTATTATTTTATATTTATGATGGATTGTGGCTAGCAGAAGAATCCAGTATGGGTGTCTCGTCCTAGTTTGGACTTGTCAGCTGCCTCCCGATGAGCTATGTTGTTCCTACTAGGACCGGAACCAGGGATTGGTTGCTCCAAACGCTAGAGCGTTATCACTAGACCACCGAGTCATTATAGCTATTCCTTATGTGACGGGTAGAGTTTTAATGTTGCCACCTGTATTATCCCGTCGTTGATTCGATTAAACTGATCGGTCTGTATTAGCACATAGGCTTCTGGGTGTATGCCTTGATATTACCTTTGTTTGAGTTATAAAACAACGATGAATAGTGGCTAGCAGTGGGAACAACATCACTCACTGCTTGGCAGACATATCTAGCTGACGACTTCCAAACAGGACGAAACGTAAGTCCTGTATTCCAGTGCTAGTCATGAGGAAGAAAATGAAATTTCATGGATAAATGAATTGATATTCCTTGATTGTTTATAAGTTTCAATCTGGAAGTGATAGATTTAGTGGGAAGATCGAAATTCTCAAGTTTCATCAACAAACAATAACTCCTAGGCTTTCCTGGTACCTTCTGCTGAGGTAGCTGTACTGACATCGTTCAGTACTGATTTACACATCTATCATAAACTGCCAAAATGTAGTACTACTGAACAACTTGAATAGCTAGAAAACACTCATGCAGATCTGTAGATTTTGTTAGCCATCTAGATCACGGTGATTTGTTCGTAGTCGAACTCATCACTGACGCACCCACACAAATCCAGCTGATAGAACCGATTTGTTCCAACTAGCTGACGCATATGCGTGGCTTCCATGTACTCATGCTGTTCACTTGTAAATCATGTAAGTTCATGACACATTTGTGTCAGTGATCACACCTTGTGATCTTGGCTTGTGGATACCTTCCAGCAGTAAACCTGTTGACAGCTTAGTAGGGCAGAGGAAAGGTCACTCAGCTGTGAGAAATGCCATCGTCGACTTGACAATGTATTATTCGACTGTAGACTGTTCTACTAATTTACGATATACCGGCCTATGCAACCCAGTTAGTCAGATTCAGCTGACCTGAGTAATTTGGCTGCATCAGTTCAGTTTTGCATGGGTATGTCGGTGGTGACTGCTGATAGAAATGATCTTAAAGGCTGTTCGGTATTTGGACAACTCTGAATTGACTAGAGGAAACTAGTGTGGCATCACTTGTTCAGAAATGTTAAATAGTGGGATCTACACCCGCTCTGGCATTGAAAATCATTTCTTTGTCGAAACAAACTGAAGACAGGCAGCAAATTCATTGAAAGTAGAATCTTGGTTGTATTGTGTTCTATGAGCTGAGTTGTTTAATCGTGAAGCTTTCATCATCCTTCTAGACGACACTGTCAGCACTAACTTCAGTATGAAGTGAGCTTTCAATATCTCTCCGTGAGTGATTTAGTAGCTTGCCTTGACGAAGTGGTCTGTGACTGGTTGTTTCTTCTGATTGTTGTGTCATTGAATGTATATATTTTTCTGTTGGCTGTCCCTCTGCTTGACCTTTGACCTTTCTGTCGTTTAGCGTTTTTCTTATTGGTTGATAGATTGGTTCTATGTCTATACATCTGTCGGCTGCTGACCTGAATGCCAAACTTCTAGGAATTCTCTGACATTTTTTGTGTTCCTGTATCCAAAATTTCTACATTATCGAAATTGAATTCATGTCCAAAATTATCCACGGGCATTGCAGTGAGTAATGAGACGTGATGCGTGACGTTTAATAGCCAATTGGTATTCATGTAGATGAAGGCGAAGAGGGTGACCACTTTTTCCAGTGTAGTGTTGACTACAGTTAGTTGTTACAGTTGATTTTGTAAATGATATTTGGTTTGTCTTATTTGGTTGTTGCATCGTTTGGTCAGCATAATAGTGTTTGAAGGGAATTTGTTGGTTTATGAGCCACACCAATTTCAAGTGGTCTCAGTAATTCTGTCGTGATTTCTTATATAATCTTTATATATGGTAGGATGATGCATTTATTGATTTCTGTGAATGACTTTGTAGTTGATGATGTACAGGATAGGCATCTTTTGAAATGGTTTCGTGGGTAGCCGTTCTTCTTTAGGATGGTCATCAAGTAATTTTCTGCTTTTCTGCGTGAAGTTGTTGTACTACAGTGTGTTCTCGCTCGTCTGAATAGAGTCTGCACGTAACTGATCTTGTGTGTTGTTGCTATTGTAGTTGAGGATTTGGTCAGTGTGTGTTGGCTTCCTGTACACTTTGGTTTCCAGCTTTCCGGCATTTGTTCTACTGACTAAAACATTCAGGAATGGTAATTGGTTGTTTGACTCCTTCTCCATTGTGAATTTGATGTTATTGAAAAGGTTGTTGATCAAACTATGAGTGTTTTCTATATCATCTTTTTCAATAATGATAAAAGTGTCGTCCACAGGTAGGATGATAGCTTCCAGTCTGTGCATCACTGCTTCTGCAATTGGTCTAGATATCGGTGATCTCATTGCAGTTCCTTTCGTCTCCTTGCATATCTTGCTGTTGAATTGGAAGTATGTTGTCAGACAAAAGTCGATGAGTTTCACCAGACTTGAACGTTTAACTTTTGTGTGTTCTGTAAGGCTTATAGCTTCATTGACCAGGAGAGATTTGGTTTCCTTAACCAATTGAGGTTCGATGGATGTGTATAGTGCAGTGACATCGAAGGATACCATTGATTCGTCGTTTTCTATGTTAATGCTTTCAATCTTTTCTCATAGGAATCTACCGACCCTGTATATCAACCGGAAATTACAAGTATCGTAATAATAATAATAATAACGATTAACAAAATATTCAATAAGTAATGACTTCATAACTACCTAAGAAAATTAAGAAGGTTAGTTTGTGAACTCAAATCCCATAGGCATATGCAATCGCAAATAGTTTCTTATTCGGTTGTTTGCTGATCACTGTAAGTGAATCAAAAGTGTTGATATAATGTCTAGAATTAAAGTGGAATTTGGCGATAGCACTTCGTAGAATCTTTACTTCAGAAGGAATTAACTATCTGGACAATTGGTCAACTATACGAATAAACAGATACCTGTAAGTGAAACCTATGCATTTGTCTCTATAAACACATTTCAATTGATATATGTAGTTAGAAGTGTTTTTTGTCTTCTAAGTAGATTATTCTAATGAGGATTTCTGTTTGACATTTACCAATTTCCATCATCACTGATGCTGATAACATTTCCGATTATCTATTAAAGGATGAGTATACTGCACTGACATCGATTCTGTCCTGTTGTATGAATGTAAGACACGGCCGTTGAAGGAAGAAGACGTAAAGTAATTATACAGTCCTCGTAGTATTTCTCATGTGAGGTGGAATCACCTTGTTAGCAATGTCGAATTCAGGTGAACGGTACTAGACAAGACAGGGAATTCGATTGATGAGGGTATGAACCATAGTCAACCATCGCCTACATCGACATTAACCATGCTAAGGCTAAGAGAAGTTGGATTAGATTAGAAGAGTGTTCAGAGTAGCCAGACGAAGACGTGACTGAGTCGTGTGGGGCGATGTAGACTGGTTTAAAACTATTGATGTCATGGCTGAAAATCTTTCACAATGGGGTAGATGTTAGCACTCCTTGAAATCTCCTTCTTCTTTTTCTTTTTCTTCAGAGAATCTAGTCCACGGAAAGTAAATAAACAGATGTTATCAAAATCTTCATCAACTTCATACATTGTTCCAATGGATTCAATTCAGGATTCAATTCCATTTAATCTAAGTAAAGAAATTTGTTCATCATGTATCATTAAAAAAGATTATTATTGGAGTCAAACAACCCTATCATCTAATTCAAAAGCATTTGTAAACTCACAATTTTATAGTAGACAATTCATATATTGGTTATTTATATGTTTAATTTTAACAGGTTTATTATTAATTACTTCTTTCGGATTTCTTATTTATCGTTGTACTCATCAACAAAATCTTATACAATATAATGATGAGCATATTCATCATAATGAACAATTGAATATAATGAGTGAAATAAATTTACTACAATCACAATCACAAAATGATCCAATCACTAGTTATCAAGATAAACAGAAATATAACCAACAAGATAATAATAATAATAATAATAATAATAATAATAATAATAATAGTCATTTAAGTGTTCAAGATAATCTGACCTATTCTCCTCTTCATGAATATTCTAATGAAAATAAACTTAGTACAAGTTATAAATCAACTGGTCAAAATACTACTAATCAACATGATAAACGTTTGTCAACAATAATATTATCAAGTCTAGATAATAAAAATCTTTTATCACGTCTATCTGAAAATAAATTTCATCAAGATGTATTCAATAAAGATGAAAATGTATTCAGTTTATCAAGAATAAAAAATCAACAATCATTCTTGAAAAATAGTAATTACTTCACTTATAATCCGCGTAAACATAGATCGAACTTAACTGATTCTACATTTGTACAGAATAAACAAGCTATATAGACAATTAATTCCTTTTATATAGCTTCGATATGACAATAAGAAGACGTAAATTGTCTAATGTAATGTAATGTATATTTGTGTAACACATTTCGAACTATCTAATCACACACACACACACTTGTCATAGGTATTTATATAAAACTTTATGAAGGGATAAAGGGTAAGAATAGGAAGGTTGAATAATGAATAGGGTGAAAAATAATAGTACATAGATAGTTGAACATATAAAGGTGGTTTGAACTTCCTAATAGCTATGACCTTAACACATTTAAAGAAGAGGAAGTAACCATACCAATCCTATGACCTGTCTCAACGACATGTTTGACAATCGAAAAACTTGAATGTCTGCTACCAATATTTATGGGTTCAGGTGATTTAATTTACTTCTGAAATCACTTTAGAGTATGTTCTGAGAATTTTACTTCTGAAGCAACCTATAAATGTTGGTAGTAGACTTTCAAGTTTATCGATTGTCAAACAAATCGTTAAGACACGTCACAGAATTGATAATGACTACTTCCTTTACATCTTTATTTACAAAACATGTTAGGGACGGATCCTTAGGAAGTTCAAACCACCTTTATATGTTCATATACAATTTGTTGTGCCATTGGTAAATTCAACTATCGATGTACTATTATTTCTCACCCTATTGATTATTCAACTTTCCTACTCGACCTCTTTTCCTATTCTCACCCTTTATCCCTTCATGAAGTTTTATATAAATACCTATGACAAGTGTACGTGTACGTGTGTGTGTGTGTGTGTGTATGATCAGATAGTTCGAAATGTGTTACACAAATATACATTACACGGGGTTTAGACAATTCTCTTATCGAAGCTATATAAAAGTAAATATTATTTATTTATAAAGTGTAAACTCTTTACCAATATGTAGAGATCAGTTTTCTTTTACAATGACATTGAATGATACATTGTTGAAATAATGAGCATAGTCAAAATGACATTCAGATGTAGATTTGTGTAATGTCACAAACAGCATTGTTTCAAATGGAAGTCTAGTCCAAGCTTCTTCATGGAAATAATCAAAATTAATACATCAAGGATATATGTAAATGAATCTAAAATCAATATATATTTAATTACTGAATGACTATAATGTCACCACTGATCTGATATTTATAATCAAGACAAATATGAATTGCAGTACATATATACATACATATACTATACAATAAAAGACATACAATTTCATATTGAATGATTAGTTATCATAATGTACAAAGACAATAACTATACAAAGAGGATTGAACAAGGAGATGAAATACACCTTGTTTTTTTTGGATTCATTTGTATATATCCTTCATGCTTTAAATTTTGATTATTTTCCTCAAGAAGCTAAGACCAGACTTCAGTATGATTTCCAACTCATTCACAAATATACAATCTATATCTGAATGTTAACTTTCTCTATTCATAGTGGAATATTTACTATACTATCCAATTAAACCTTGATCATAGTTTATATAAATAGTCGAAATGAATATTATGAAAAAGAAATATTTGATGAGAATATTGTAAAAGAACAAATGATTATTAATCAAGCGTGTACATTTCTGTTGACTTTTTTTTTCTCCTTCTTTTCGATGATGAATACTACCTGTTTTGTTTTGTTTTAATGTTCTTAAGTTGTCGTCTATACTCTCATAATCCGATTTATTTATTTTTCAAGCATTCTACTCTGTTTTATTCTATTCATAGGTGTATATTCAACACTATGTTAAGTCCTTTGTTTTATTGTCTTTATTATGTATAAATATCTTGTTATAGCATAAATTATTTCAGTTATCTAATGGTAATCAAATGTCTTCTCTGATTCACTTAGAGATTAATAAAAGTTTATATGATCCGATCTGTTTACATGCTTATAACTCGTGTATTACCATTGATTGAATTTAACTGATTATTTTAGTTTATTGTAGCGTTAACTGTGATCTACTACACAGTTAACTTCAATATTTAATCATGAGCTAACAGAAATTGGAAATATGGACCGTTGGATTCTGACCCAGTAGGTCAATGGTATCGTGATGGCCATGAAATCTGAAGGTCATGGGTGCGCATTGCTTAGGAGTCCCATACTAAGATGAAACAGATGTCTAGTGCTCACAGGTTTTCATTTATTCCTCCAACTGATATCAATCTACGATGAATAACACCTTGAAATATTTAATGAAGCCTGAAAAAAGTCTTTGAGCTATAGAATAAATACTGAATGATCATCCAATGAATCAATTGTTTTTTCACTATGATTGGTGACATCCTCTACACTTCACTTCTTTATCAAATGTTTACGATAAAATTCTAAAGCTTGGAGAACACCGAACAAGAAAATCCTCATTCTGAGTTATAAATCTCTTCCATCATTTCAGCATGAAATGTAACTTCACTGACGACATAAGCAACATGACATCATAGTTTACTATACTTCAAAGTTTATATTGTAAGGCGAACAAATCTCTTTTATTGAAGGTCATTTTGGATATCAGCTGAAATACTGCAAAGCTGAATAACAGACTTCATCACTACCAAGTACACAAGTTTTTTCGTAGCCAGAATAACTGTAAAGCAAATCAAAAAGTCAACTGTCACCAACTACAACAAAAATACCACCGATGTGCAAAGACAAGACGAGAAGATAGACCCTAGATACACAGTTTATTATTGTCTCAATAATAGTCAATATAATTGGCAGAGATGCTGCATATGCACGTTTCGGAATGACCTTGACAACTCTAAATCCACATGTAGGTACAAATAGTTAACATCCAATCAGAGTTCAGCCTTGAGAGCAGAGGGAAGAAGACCTAATAATGGTGTGAAAACAGCCATGAAGGTTATTTTAAGGTCATGGGCAAAACAGCAGGTAAAGCTATCAGACGTTAGGGTATATAGAACATATGCATTAAGATGTATTGTATCAGAGAAATTTTATATCAAATTTAAATGAGATAAAATATATGACCTTGTGCACTAGTTTGAATCATACTCCATTTGTTACATGATATCATAGCGAAAATTTAGTATGCCTAGAATATATTACTTATCACTTTCCCTTATCAAGGTTGTTTCTTCTGAGCGGAACTTGTCTATTACAACTGAAAAGGTAGTCGCTACCTGGGGGGGCAAACCTGATGGCCCTGACGACAAATACTCAACGATAACATTAGGTGATGGTCGCATTATGTCATGAACTGATAGAAGTAGGAAATATGGACGATGGGTTTCAGATCCAGTGGCTCAATGATAACATGTAGGCCACGAAACCTGAAGGTGGCGGGTTCGATCTCTGGGATGCAAAGTCGTAGGTGAGCACTGCTGAGGAGTCCTATGCTACGAGGAAGCAGCTGTCCAGTGTTCTTCTAACTGATGTCAGTTCATGATGAATGTCAACTTCAACGGACGGTCGTTTCACTTTTGGTGATATATGAGGTATACCTTCGTTTCAGTGTGTATACTTTATAATCTGGTTATCATCGTGGACTGAAATGAGTTGCGGAACTACTGGAAGCTCAAGAGCATCGGGGGGATGTCTTTTCCTACTGTGGGACTCCTAAGTAGTGTACACCCATAATGCCATCAGGGAACGAACCCAGAGTCTTCAGGTTTCGTGGCGAAGAAGTCGGCAATGTGTCACTAGGTTGCAAATCAATGGTAAACATTTTTCTACTTCTGTTAATTATTGGGATAGTGTGACCTTCATCTAATGTCCTCATATCCTACTTGACTCGCCCTGCCAGTCAAGACTTACCACTTGAGCTCCAGGAAATCTCATTTCAAAGCAAGTTGCTAATAAGTACTTGGCGGCAATTCAATTTGGAGTTTTGTATGGCTTTAACAGTTTCAGTTTGATAATCATTGCACGCTGACACAAATTTGAAAAGTTATTGGCAACCTGAGGGCACTGGACAACTGTTTCACTGTATCGTAGACTGACAGAAGTGGAGGGGTGTGAACCGTTGACCTAACGTGCTCGCCAAGGATCCTGAAGATCCTAGGTTCAACTCCTTGTGTGGTCAAGGGTGTTCACTTCTGAAGGGTCCTATAGGAGGACGAAACATTTACCCAATGCTACTAGATCTCCAATTATTCTCCAACTGATGTTAGTTCGCTAGGTATGCTAACCGTGAAACCCAAAGTTCCCGGGTTCGATACCTATCAGGATCATTAGTGCTCACTACTGGGGAATCGCAAACTTGAGTGAAACGGCTGTCCAGTTCTCAAAACGATGTTCCTCTCTAGCTGAACTATCCAACGTTGTTACTTTCAAATTTCGTATGCTAGTTATGCGAATGTATTGTATTGTAGCCTCCATTATGGAATTAAGGACAACGTGTTACAAACCAATGTGGAAGAGTTGCCTGTTTATATGAAATAAGCGTATGGAAAGTCTTACATCTTCATTGCTATTTTAATGTATTCTAATTTCTGATCAGAACTTTCAACCTAATGATTTTTCCCATTGAGGTATATTTCAATGTTTCACAGTATGATTCCTGTTTGTATTTTTATGAAGACTTTATCATCGAAGCTGAATAGTACTAACTGTTAGCAACAAGAAAGTGTTATTGTTTGATGTGACTTCTTGGCTTAAGAAGTAGAGTTTTAAGCAGTGGGTCCCCGGTATGATTCTAGTTGTATCTATCTCAGTTTGGACAAACAGGTTGTATCATAGCTTATTGCATAAACATATACCGGGTTCCGCTATACCGCTTTACATGTCTGACATATTAAGAAACAACAAATGTAAGGGTGATGACGCAACACCTGAGCCGGAGATGTTGGAAAGAAGACAAATAAGCAAACATTATTGGTTTCAATTAGCTCTTACCAGGCTTTAGGCTAATAAACATAAATTTTCTCATATGTAAACTATTAGACCGATCATAATTGGTTATGCAGTCTGTGGTGACTAGGAAGTGAAGCATACAAGTCATAAATATCTAGATAACAGTAATGAGGGTATTAGTAATTGATACTGGATGATGGTTGAAGGTGAACTTAAAGTTCGGACTACGGCCGGATTCGAACCAGTGACCACAGGCTCGATAGTCTACTAACTGAGCTACGAGATTTAACTCCCTACCAGATTTTTATTTCAATTCGATCACTGGGTGTTTTACCAGACTACTATATGAGCTTTGTGATGCTTTACTACCTTTTGATCTTACTCACACTGGCTGCCCAGTAGGGACTTCTCATCCCAATCCAAATCTGAATTAAAGAGGGGAAACATTATACTGACTATCTGAGATAGTCGTGCTTTGGTCAGTAGTCGAACCTAGTAGCTGAGCTGGAACCCCAGTGATCACTGGTTCGAATCCTGCGACGGTCCAAATTTTTATTTCACCTTTTAATAGGCATCCAGTATCAATTATTAATTTATTTATAATTTGCACGATGTCCAAATTGTTTCGAAGTATCGTATCTCAACTAGGTTTGGATATGTAAAGAAAAGTGATGAAAACTAAATTTATCTTTAAAATCTCTAGCCAAGTCAGAGGTAAAGGTTACACAAACTTTTTCTACACATAAAGACTAGGGTTGGCTTCTTTAATTCTCATAGCCTCAGTCATATGCAATTTGCGAGTCCGAATTCCATTTGAATGACTTTTTGGAATATGATAAATGATTCTGAATACTTTCGTCTTGTCTATTGCATGACAACTGTTTACTAAATGCAACAACTTCACTTGTTCATTTCCTAATCATTATGGTAGGTGGTCAACAACACGTTTGTTAAGCTTTCTAGTTGTACACCCAATATAAATTTCTCCACTGAAGCAAGTGAAGTGATAAATGTGCATAGAAGTGACAGAACTGTCAGTAAAGGTAGAGAATATTCAGATATAGAAAAGAGTAAAATTCATGTTTGTAAAGTTACGTAATTGCTTTGATGTAATTATGAGGAATAGTTTACACTCTCAATGGCAGTAAGTAAGTAATACTGAATCACTATGTGCTAAATTGTCACATCAACAAATTTAACGTAAAATTATTTAGAGTTTCTAGTGAATGGTATGAATATTCGGAACCCACTCACCTTGATTCTACTATGTACTGATAAGGTGTAGTTCACTTTCGAAGGTTGACAAGTTAATGGTTTACGCTATGACTAGTCCTTTAGGACTATTGTTACCTGCTGTCTATATGTCACACGCGGAACTTTCGAGCGAGGATTTAATAAATAAGATTCCTCTGTATAGGAAATAAGTTGATGATATCTTAATTAATTGCAACAAAGAAGACAATGCAAAAAGTCTTCTACATCAACTTAACACCATACAAAGCTATATCAGTTTACCATGTGAAGTACATAACAATAATCAGCTTTCTTTTCTTGACATATTACAGCGCATATCCACTGAAGTTTACCAATAGTTATAAAAAAGTTTCACTATTCCGTCGCGAAGAAAGAAGTTTTCATCATACTACTGTATGAGGAAGAATCAAATAGTGTGATGTTAAAATGAAGGCTTAATCCAGTTGTTGAAATGACATACTATGTAGGAAAACTAAATCAATTCTTCAAAATGAGCCTTGTCACTACATAGGTGACTGTGTGTTATCCCACTGTATATGCCAGTTTATATGTGTGTGCGGTTACACATATATTGGTAGTGTAGTGAGTGTCGTTCATAAGAATGGAAAAGCAAGATAGGCGTTCATTAGCCTGAAACCAGTGTGCAGATCTTCTGCACTCAAAACAAAGCATGAACAGCATCCGAATTTCCAACACCAATCAAGTAAAGTCAGTGCTTCTATGTGATGGTTGAGAGACTTGGCGCGTTACGAAAGGGATTTCCAACAAACTACAGATATTCATAAACAGATGCCATCTCT